TTTGTCTTTCTGAATAACATACTGGAATATGTAAGTGGCAGGATCCCTAATAAGAAAGTTATAAAATATTGCTGGCCCCTGTCCGGCCCTGGACGCCCGGATTAAATATTCTGATACTGTACATTTCTTCGTTTTGTCTTTCTGAATAACATACTGAAATATGTAAGTGGCAGGATCCCTAATAAGAAAGTTATAAAATATTGCTGGCCCCTGTCCGGCCCTGGACGCCCGGATTAAATATTCTGATACTGTACATTTCTTCGTTTTGTCTTTCTGAATAACATACTGAAATATGTAAGTGGCAGGATCCCTAATAAGGAAGTTATAAAATATTGCTGGCCCCTGTCCGGCCCTGGACGCCCGGATTAAATATTCTGATACTGTACATTTCTTCGTTTCATCTTCCTGAATAACATACTGGAATATGTAAGTGGCAGGATCCCTAATAAGAAAGTTATGAAATATTGCTGGCCCCTGTCCGGCCCTGGACGCCCGGATTAAATATTTTGATACTGTACATTTCTTCGTTTCATCTTCCGGAATAACATACTGGAATATGTAAGTGGCAGGATCCCTAATAAGAAAGTTATGAAATATTGCTGGCCCCTGTCCGGCCCTGGACGCCCGGATTAAATATTCTGATACTTCACATTTCTTCGTTTTGTCTTTCTGAATAACATACTGAAATATGTAAGTGGCAGGATCCCTAATAAGAAAGTTATGGTATATTGCTGGCCCCTGTCCGGCCCTGGACGCCCGGATTAAATATTCTGATACTTCACATTTCTTCGTTTTGTCTTTCTGAATAACATACTGAAATATGTAAGTGGCAGGATCCTTAATAAGAAAGTTATAAAATATTGCTGGCCCCTGTCCGGCCCTGGACGCCCGGATTGAATATTCTGATACTGTTTATTTCTTCGTTTTATCTTTCTGAATAACATACTGGGATATGTAAGTGGCAGGATCCCTAATAAGAAAGTTATAAAATATTGCTGGCCCCTGTCCGGCCCTGGACGCCCGGATTAAATATTCTGATACTGTACATTTCTTCGTTTTATCTTTCTGAATAACATACTGAAATATGTAAGTGGCAGGATCCCTAATAAGAAAGTTATAAAATATTGCTGGCCCCTGTCCGGCCCTGGACGCCCGGATTAAATATTCTGATACTGTACATTTCTTTGTTTTGTCTTTCTGAATAACCTACTGAAATATGTAAGTGGCAGGATTTCTAATAAGAAAGTTATAAAATATTGCTGGCCCCTGTCCGGCCCTGGACGCCCGGATTAAATATTCTGATACTGTTCATTTCTTCGTTTTGTCTTTCTGAATAACATACTGAAATATGTAAGTGGCAGGATCCCTAATAAGGAAGTTATAAAATATTGCTGGCCCCTGTCCGGCCCTGGACGCCCGGATTGAATATTCTGATACTGTACATTTCCTCGTTTCGTCTTCCTGAATAACATACTGAAATATGTAAGTGGCAGGATCCCTAATAAGAAAGTTATAAAATATTGCTGGCCCCTGTCCGGCCCTGGACGCCCGGATTAAATATTCTGATACTGTACATTTCTTTGTTTTGTCTTTCTGAATAACCTACTGAAATATGTAAGTGGCAGGATTTCTAATAAGAAAGTTATAAAATATTGCTGGCCCCTGTCCGGCCCTGGACGCCCGGATTAAATATTCTGATACTGTTCATTTCTTCGTTTTGTCTTTCTGAATAACATACTGAAATATGTAAGTGGCAGGATCCCTAATAAGGAAGTTATAAAATATTGCTGGCCCCTGTCCGGCCCTGGACGCCCGGATTAAATATTCTGATACTGTACATTTCTTCGTTTTGTCTTTCTGAATAACATACTGGAATATGTAAGTGGCAGGATCCCTAATAAGAAAGTTATAAAATATTGCTGGCCCCTGTCCGGCCCTGGACGCCCGGATTAAATATTCTGATACTGTACATTTCTTCGTTTTGTCTTTCTGAATAACATACTGAAATATGTAAGTGGCAGGATCCCTAATAAGAAAGTTATAAAATATTGCTGGCCCCTGTCCGGCCCTGGACGCCCGGATTAAATATTCTGATACTGTACATTTCTTCGTTTTGTCTTTCTGAATAACATACTGAAATATGTAAGTGGCAGGATCCCTAATAAGGAAGTTATAAAATATTGCTGGCCCCTGTCCGGCCCTGGACGCCCGGATTAAATATTCTGATACTGTACATTTCTTCGTTTTGTCTTTCCGAATAACATACTGAGATATGTAAGTGGCAGGATCTCTAATAAGAAAGTTATAAAATATTGCTGGCCCCTGTCCGGCCCTTTACGCCCGGATTAAATATTCTGATACTGTACATTTCCTCGTTTTGTCTTTCTGAATGACATACTGAAATATGTAAGTGGCAGGATCCCTAATAAGAAAGTTATAAAATATTGCTGGCCCCTGTCCGGCCCTGGACGCCCGAATTAAATATTCTGATACTGTACATTTCTTCGTTTTATCTTTCTGAATAACATACTGAAATATGTAAGTGGCAGGATCCCTAATAAGAAAGTTATAAAATATTGCTGGCCCCTGTCCGGCCCTGGACGCCCGGATTAAATATTCTGATACTGTACATTTCTTCGTTTTGTCTTTCTGAATAACATACTGGAATATGTAAGTGGCAGGATCCCTAATAAGAAAGTTATAAAATATTGCTGGCCCCTGTCCGGCCCTGGACGCCCGGATTAAATATTCTGATACTGTACATTTCTTCGTTTTGTCTTTCTGAATAACATACTGAGATATGTAAGTGGCAGGATCTCTAATAAGAAAGTTATAAAATATTGCTGGCCCCTGTCCGGCCCTGGACGCCCGGATTGAATATTCTGATACTGTACATTTCCTCGTTTTGTCTTTCTGAATGACATACTGAAATATGTAAGTGGCAGGATCCCTAATAAGAAAGTTATAAAATATTGCTGGCCCCTGTCCGGCCCTGGACGCCCGAATTAAATATTCTGATACTGTACATTTCTTCGTTTTATCTTTCTGAATAACATACTGAAATATGTAAGTGGCAGGATCTCTAATAAGAAAGTTATAAAATATTGCTGGCCCCTGTCCGGCCCTGGACGCCCGGATTAAATATTCTGATACTGTACATTTCTTCGTTTTGTCTTTCTGAATAACATACTGGAATATGTAAGTGGCAGGATCCCTAATAAGAAAGTTATAAAATATTGCTGGCCCCTGTCCGGCCCTGGACGCCCGGATTAAATATTCTGATACTGTACATTTCTTCGTTTTGTCTTTCTGAATAACATACTGAAATATGTAAGTGGCAGGATCCCTAATAAGAAAATTATAAAATATTGCTGGCCCCTGTCCGGCCCTGGACGCCCGGATTAAATATTCTGATACTGTACATTTCTTCGTTTTGTCTTTCTGAATAACATACTGAAATATGTAAGTGGCAGGATCCCTAATAAGGAAGTTATAAAATATTGCTGGCCCCTGTCCGGCCCTGGACGCCCGGATTAAATATTCTGATACTGTACATTTCTTCGTTTTGTCTTTCCGAATGACATACGGAAATATGTAAGTGGCAGGATCCCTAATTAGAAAGTTATAAAATATTGCTGGCCCCTGTCCGGCCCTGGACATCCGGAAAATCTGTTTCGATTAGTACATTTCTTCCTTGAGTATCCTCAATAAACATACTGGAAAATTGTTATCGCAGAATGCGTAACGGAAAAAATAAAGAATATTGCTGAACTTTATTGCTAAAGTAACTGGGCTCGAGAGATCACAGTTGAAAGAATTAATATCAGTTGCCTCAGTCTCCGTCGGGCGTTTGGTATTTTCTTTTAACTATGGCGAGATGAGGTTTCTACGTCATAAGAGAGTCCGTTTTCAGAAGGTACTATTATTTATGTCCAAAAATAAAACATTCCAGTTAATTTTTCGCCCATTGTACACATTTGATTTGATGTTTATTGAATTCAAATATTATTGCTTACTTATTTCTTGTACCAGAACTTCTTCTTGACTGGAAGTTATATCTTCAATAAGTAAATAAATAGTGATCAGGATCAGCACTTCTATCATACAGAAAATTAATCAAATCTCATTATACATTATACATTAAATATAAGCGCTGGTTTTGAAAGGAAGTAAAAGTCTCTATTGAAATTGATTAATGCCTTCTATTCCATACAAAGATTTATTCAAAAGTTTTGTTTCCATTTTGTTTTTATTATTCAGTGATATAAAAATTAAGTATCATCAAATGGAAACATAGGGTCCCTTTGATTTTTCATTTTATCTGTTGAGAAGTTAATTGGTGACTATAATTTCAATTTATGAGGAAATATACTATTATCATTCCAAATATTCATAATTCAACGTCTATCTTTTGGTTTTGAGCAGGAATATCTTGTATAAGAAGAAATTAGAACTTGTATCTTCAAATTTTCTTCATTGAAATTTTAACAATATTAGATGGAATTCATTATTTATCTTTTGGTGTCCACTGTGTTTTAAATCAATAATTTACAATTATATTTCTTCTGAGAGAATTGAGAAATTATTCAAATAGCAGGTGAACCGTTTGATCTAGATCTAGAGTGATATTTAGCATTTTTATGCTATTATTATTTAAATTGAATTTTCACTGTTTGTCCTAGTAGAATAAAAAATATTAATAGATTTCCAATATGAGTACTATGGTCCATCATATTTCAGGAATTGTTTTAAAAAAATACTTCCGACTTCAAAATTGGACTTTGATAACTTTTTTTAGACTTGCAACTGAGTATTACCTCATAAAGACCTCAAAAGCAATGGTTTTTGAGGTATCTTCAATTTTCTGTCCACTTTTTTCCAAAACCAATATCTACAATCAACAATAAGTGATATTTGACCCGAAATTGATATAACTTTTGAATTAAACTAACAGAAAATCATTAATAATTCTCAAATTCATTTCTTTGATTCCATCACAGTCCAAACAGAAAATCAGAATCCGGAAATCAGACTTACAGAGTAGTCGCTCAAGACTTGGTAAGTAGTCTTCAAACAACAACAATTTTCGACAATAAAAATCATTAAAAATAACCCCTAGCCCGTACTGGACGGCAAAGACTGGTACTGCTTCGAATGCCACCTGGCGGGTGACGTTACCCCGTGCTCGCAGTGCCACAGGGTGTTCCACCAGGGCTGCCTGCGGGGCGCTAGAAACAAGTTCGACGTTCAAAAACAGACCAACAACTACAGCGAGCTCAAAGACAACACTCCACAGGTGGCCACTCCACAGGTGGAATCTGTCACTGTCATTGACGATGACGAAGACGTCTCTAATAGAAACGGAGATCGTTCGGAAAAAGAGGCGGATAAATCGAAGGAGCCGGTGGATAAGAGAACGTTGGAGTACGACGATGGTCTGTGTTCCATTTGCAACATATACAGGATCGATAACAGCTGCGAGATGGACAAGGCGGAGATCAACTATTTGTTGAAGTTTGTTTTACAAAGAATAAGAGCATGGGTGAGTGGGGGTCTGTTTGCTGACTCAAAATCTGTGTAATTTTTTAACAATTATTGTTCATCAAGTTGGTGATGTCATGAATACCATAGTTAGGTTATTAAATTTAGAAGGTTATCCGGCTCGAAGGACCATGTGGGATTTTGCCTACAAAAATATGGGGCTGGCTCCCAGTTGATACAGCTGGTGTAGTAGTTTTATAGTGAAATAATATCTCTATTATAATTTTGATGACAGACAGACATGAAATGATGAATGAACCTTGATTCCTTGAAAATTTGATCTGAAAAAATATTGAATTGTTCGTTTTTAATTATAGAAACGAGGAAAAAAATCCCATGAGAAGAACTGAATTTTTTTGGCATAAAAAAAAGTGTTGTTAGACTGCTGATTTTTTTTTAGTTGCCCAATACGATCACTCACACGCTGGCAGTGGAAACTGGGCCGGAGTGGTTGAATGACACAGAGCTGGCTTGGAGGGCCAATCAGCTATTCTTCGAGCAGCTGGACATGTCCGTCATCGAAATTAAGCTCAAAACAGTGACGTATGTCATGTTTTCGGAGTTTCTCGCTGACGTTTACAATGTCCACCACAACGTCGCTGTATTTCACGGCAGTAAGTTTTCATTGAAATAAGTGGGATAATAAATTGAAAATGTGTTTATGATTATTCATAAGTTAGCTCTCGCGTGTTGTAACATCAATATATAGTGTGACCCATTTAAGATGGAAGCACCCTTATAAAACTTACATTTTTCAACAGATTCGAATGATTTTTTTTTATTAGGTAGATATTCAAAAAGTCTATTAGGACACCAAATATCATGAATAAATCTCCATTTCCAGGGCCAACTAATCTGATTTTTTAAGGTCAAAAATCTAAAAAAATTACTAGCGATTTTTTTAGAAAAAATCTGACTACACCACTGGATTTGTGACATTTTCAAATGGGTAACATGTAAATTACGTTGAAATGCGTCAATCAATAAAAAAGTTATAAAGGAATGAAATTTGAAAAATATGCCGTTTAATCAACCCACCAATTCATGTTCAGGAATTTTATGAAAATTCTGTATACTCCACTGGATTCAGGATGTCTTGAAATATTACTGATCACAGTTTCATCGAAATCTGTTCAGTAATAAAAATTGATGGGTTGATTAAACGGCATATTTTTCAAATTTCATTCCTTTATAACTTTTTTATTGATTGACGCATTTCAACGTAATTTACATGTTACCCATTTGAAAATGTCACAAATCCAGTGGTGTAGTCAGATTTTTTCTGAAAAAATCGCTAGTAATTTTTTTAGATTTTTGACCTTGAAAAATCAGATTAGTTGGCCCTGGAAATGGAGATTTATTCATGATATTTGGTGTCCTAATAGACTTTTTGAATATCTACCTAACAAAAAAAAAATCATTCCAATCGGTTGAAAAATGTAAGTTTTATAAGGGTGCTTCCATCTTAAATGGGTCACACTGTATGTGAAGTTATTTGATATTTTCAATATTTTGAACATGCTTTTGATCAACAAAAGCAAGCCCTCAAACCTGAACGCCACTGAATGAAATTTCTACGTATCTGTGAAATGTCAGGTTAGGATATTTGTAACTAACTTCAATACTTTACAAAATGAGTCTGCTTCAGAAAATGGCAGAGTGGTAATCATTTGAATAATTCGATTTATCTACGGATCGCAGGTGTGTTGTCACCTGTCAAAAAAAATTGCCACACGTGAGAGGTTATAAATTTTTCATTTATTTTTGTGAGGTTGGAAGGTTGTTTATAAGATAATTATCATTTACTAATGTTATACGTACATACGTATTTTTCTCCATTCCAAGATTTCCAATCATCCAATACAACTCCAAACTTCATCTCTAATTATTGTCAGTTGTCATACTTACCTAGATACCGATGCTCTTCGACTGGTTCCTCTGGTGACATATGAGTACCCATTCTTTCAGGAATCGTGTTCCGTAATTTAACCAGTTTTCAGCCGGTAAATGAGGTAACCAGTATATCTAGTATAAACACAACCAACTTTGGAAACGGAACAAACCCCAAGAGCAACTACTGGAGTATACTTTCAGAATGATCCCATGTCCCGTTCTCCGCGAACTTCTAAGGTACCATCGACCTTGACCCACCCTGTATATTTCTATGTTATCAAAGTTGTTCCACTGTCATCCGAGGCTATATTCCGCATTCAACTGGTCAGTACTGTCAGTAGATTCACTGACTCTGCTGAAAAGCTGTGTTCCGAAATATAAAATCAAAAATACAGTGCTGTAATTCGGTACACGTTTTCATCAGTATTCTGCAGCAGTTGATCAGCTGGTGATATTTGTCAGTTGTCATTGATCTGGCCGATGCTCCTGCTTGAGCTAAATAAATAACAGGCATTTTCTGATATCAAAATGATATTATTAATATATTATTGATAAGCCAAGACCGAGGCCAAGACCTAATGTTTGAAAAACAACGGAAATAAATGTGTCATTCCTTTCCCCTCAAAAATAATGACAGTTCACTGAAGCCACACTACAGAGATGTTTAGAAATTTAACTGGTGGGCTCACTCTTCAATTGTTTCGTCAGACTAACTCTCGATATGGAACAATTTGCAAGTTTTGGACGTGGGGTTCAGGTATTTGCGATAGAGGCGCCATAATCGGAAAATTGTTCTGTGAAGGATGAAACAAGAAATCTTTTTTTTAGCCGATTTTTCTATGGTGGATTTTAGGTATTATACACAAAATTTAGAAACTACGGAACACGTCTAACGAACACTTGACCCCAATCTCAGAAATAACCATTTTTTCAGCTTAAAAATATTTTTGACATATTGACGTTCCGATCCTTTGATCAGGAATCAGTTCACTGCTCTGATCCAAATCATATACGTATCCAAATATTTATCAGTCGGTAATATGTTTTCTGTAAATATGGATTGTAACCAGGATGAGCTTAGCGAGATTTACCCACGTCAAGTATGTTTATCAGAGTAGGCGCCATCGAGAAACTTGCAAACGACCTTCAATAGGGAGCAAGCGCACCACTCAAATTTCTAAACATCTCTCACACTACCTTTTGATAGTCAGCAATTTCAGCAGAATGTTGAGTCGAAATATTTGGAATGAATAGTATATCTGCCCACGAGTATCTGTCACTTTCAGTCAATTTTTTTGATTTCGGAATGAAAATTCAGCAGATTCAGTACTGTCAGTTGAATTCGGAATATAGCCCGAGAAAGCCTCTTGAATTCACGTTTTGACAGCGGTTTCACAACTTTAGCATAGGTCGCGTGCACGAATGGTGCACGATGACCGACCTCACTCTTCTGTGAAACATTGAAACACAACCTCACTTTTTATTTGTGCTGTTGTACAATGCACTAAAAATGCAGCGAGAGACGAAGGAATATGATTTTTCAGGTAAATAGTAATCTATTAGTAATTTCTTTTATGTTTTCCAGTAGAATCTCAAGAATACGGCGCCGCAGAGCTGATGCTTCGCGACACTTTGCACGACATGACCGAACTGAAGAACTGCGTGGATTGCTACAGGCACAGCAACGAGAAAATCAACAGCAAGTGGTTCTGTCTGCCCTGTAGGGTACCCCACGAGCTGGTCTGGGCCAAACAAAAGGGATATCCCTATTGGCCGGCAAAAGTAAGAAAAACGTTTTATCTACTCACTGCATCCAAATAAAATGCAATTACATAGGATGAATTCCAAATTCCGAGAAGTTTTGGAACAATGCCATGAACGAAATTGAAGCAGCAAGCTGGAGTATGTCAGTCGACGAATATTTTCAGGAAAACTAGTATCACGACTTGTATTCCATGATAGAGACAATAAACGAGCGGCTCGCGATAGTTGCGCACACTGCATTCATCATGCTGGCTTCCAACATTATTTTACGTTTGGAACGTCCGAAATTTTATCTCACTGAAAAACGAGGATGGTTGGTCACGTGTGGGTCATTTCGGCTTCTGTATTGGTAGAGCAAGTCCGATAAAATTTAGTAAACGAAAAATTATCGCTGTAATACAGAAGAAACTGTCAAAATGGTCGATTCTGATTGATTCTAGAGACCAAGGATGGGATAGACAATAATAAATCAATAATATCATTTCTAATATCAGAAAATGCCTGTTATTAAAATAATTGACACTGAGAATAATATCTAGTTCGAATCATATACGTATTAATAAACAATACGGATCATAACGGGTGCCAGGATGAAGCCAAAAATATGAAACAAATGAATATCCATAAGGATTTGGTGGCATGATACGCATGCGCCATGCGCTATTATAGTAGTCATCAAAGACATGCGTTTCGGTGGACAATGACGTTTACTAGCCTTTCAATCAAAGCAGTATATGTGTCTGATCGTTTCAAAACTTTTCCTTATGGATAGTCATTTGTCTTCAAAAATCGGCTTCATGTTTCGCTATGGAAACAGATAGAGATTATCCGTATTGATTATTAATACGTATATGGTTCGAATAAGCTATAAACCATACATGTGACAACCTGATGACAACTGACAAAGTTTACCAGCTGATCAACTGCTGCTGATCACTGATGAAAACCATAGAAACATGTTCCGAATTACAGCCCTGTATATTTGATTTTATATTTAATATATATATAAGTATAAGTATATAAGTATAGTTGATAAAAGTAAAATAGTAAAAATCAGTTTCTAATTATTAAACGTAGCACACGCACATTCTTATAAGAAAATCGTGTGATACATGTTTATATTGTTGAAAAAAAATTGCTATAATAAAAATACCGAAGTGTGGCGGAGTTTTTTTTCAGTTTTGAAAAATTTGGAGCATATCATCTCACGCGTTTTGACTCGAATACGTTAGGTTTTGGAGTAGAAAAATATCTGACATGGTTCTGTTGAGATGATATGCCTGATTTGATGATGAAAAAAACCCGAAGTGTGGCGGAGTTTTTTTTTTCAGTTTTGAAAAATTTGGAGCATATCATCTCACGCGTTTTGACTCGAATACGTTAGGTTTTGGAGTAGAAAATATCTGACATGGTTCTGTTGAGATGATATGGCTGATATGCCTTCGGCATATATAATGAAAAAAACCCGAAGTGTGGCGGAGTTTTTTTTCAGTTTTGAAAAATTTGGAGCATATCATCTCACGCGTTTTGACTCGAATACGTTAGGTTTGAAGTAGAAAATATCTGACATGGTTCTGTTGAGATGATATGCCTGATTTGATGATGAAAAAAACCCGAAGTGTGGCGGAGTTTTTTTTTTCAGTTTTGAAAAATTAGGAGCATATCATCTCACGCGTTTTGACTCGAATACGTTAGGTTTGAAGTAGAAAAATATCTGACATGGTTCTGTTGAGATGATATGCCTGATTTGATGATGAAAAAAACCCGAAGTGTGGCGGAGTTTTTTTTTTTCAGTTTTGAAAAATTAGGAGCATATCATCTCACGCGTTTTGACTCGAATACGTTAGGTTTGAAGTAGAAAAATATCTGACATGGTTCTGTTGAGATGATATGCCTGATTTGATGATGAAAAAAACCCGAAGTGTGGCGGAGTTTTTTTTTTCAGTTTTGAAAAATTAGGAGCATATCATCTCACGCGTTTTGACTCGAATACGTTAGGTTTGAAGTAGAAAAATATCTGACATGGTTCTGTTGAGATGATATGCCTGATTTGATGATGAAAAAAACCCGAAGTGTGGCGGAGTTTTTTTTTTCAGTTTTGAAAAATTAGGAGCATATCATCTCACGCGTTTTGACTCGAATACGTTAGGTTTGAAGTAGAAAATATCTGACATGGTTCTGTTGAGATGATATGGCTGATATGCCTTCGGCATATATAATGAAAAAACCCGAAGTGTGGCGGAGGTTTTTTTCAGTTTTGAAAAATTAGGAGCATATCATCTCACGCGTTTTGACTCGAATACGTTAGGTTTGAAGTAGAAAAATATCTGACATGGTTCTGTTGAGATGATATGCCTGATTTGATGATGAAAAAAACCCGAAGTGTGGCGGAGTTTTTTTTTTTCAGTTTTGAAAAATTAGGAGCATATCATCTCACGCGTTTTGACTCGAATACGTTAGGTTTGAAGTAGAAAAATATCTGACATGGTTTTGTTGAGATGATATGCCTGATTTGCCTTCGGCATATATAATGAAAAAAACCCGAAGTGTGGCGGAGTTTTTTTCAGTTTTGAAAAATTTGGAGCATATCATCTCACGCGTTTTGACTCGAATACGTTAGGTTTGAAGTAGAAAAATATCTGACATGGTTTTGTTGAGATGATATGCCTGATTTGATGATGAAAAAAACCCGAAGTGTGGCGGAGTTTTTTTCAGTTTTGAAAAATTTGGAGCATATCATCTCACGCGTTTTGACTCGAATACGTTAGGTTTGAAGTAGAAAAATATCTGACATGGTTTTGTTGAGATGATATGCCTGATTTGCCTCCGGCATATATAATGAAAAAAACCCGAAGTGTGGCGGAGTTTTTTTCAGTTTTGAAAAATTTGGAGCATATCATCTCACGCGTTTTGACTCGAATACGTTAGGTTTGAAGTAGAAAAATATCTGACATGGTTTTGTTGAGATGATATGCCTGATTTGCCTTCGGCATATTTCATGAAAAAAACCCGAAGTGTGGCGGAGTTTTTTTCAGTTTTGAAAAATTTGGAGCATATCATCTCACGCGTTTTGACTCGAATACGTTAGGTTTGAAGTAGAAAAATATCTGACATGGTTCTGTTGAGATGATATGCCTGATTTGATGATGAAAAAAACCCGAAGTGTGGCGGAGTTTTTTTTTTTCAGTTTTGAAAAATTAGGAGCATATCATCTCACGCGTTTTGACTCGAATACGTTAGGTTTGAAGTAGGAAAATATCTGACATGGTTTTGTTGAGATGATATGCCTGATTTGATGATGAAAAAAACCCGAAGTGTGGCGGAGTTTTTTCAGTTTTGAAAAATTTGGAGCATATCATCTCACGCGTTTTGACTCGAATACGTTAGGTTTGAAGTAGAAAAATATCTGACATGGTTTTGTTGAGATGATATGCCTGATTTGCCTTCGGCATATATAATGAAAAAAACCCGAAGTGTGGCGGAGTTTTTTTCAGTTTTGAAAAATTTGGAGCATATCATCTCACGCGTTTTGACTCGAATACGTTAGGTTTGAAGTAGAAAAATATCTGACATGGTTTTGTTGAGATGATATGCCTGATTTGCCTTCGGCATATTTCATGAAAAAAACCCGAAGTGTGGCGGAGTTTTTTTCAGTTTTGAAAAATTTGGAGCATATCATCTCACGCGTTTTGACTCGAATACGTTAGGTTTGAAGTAGAAAAATATCTGACATGGTTTTGTTGAGATGATATGCCTGATTTGATGATGAAAAAAACCCGAAGTGTGGCGGAGTTTTTTTCAGTTTTGAAAAATTTGGAGCATATCATCTCACACGTTTTGACTCGAATACGTTAGGTTTGAAGTAGAAAAATATCTGACATGGTTTTGTTGAGATGATATGCCTGATTTGATGATGAAAAAACCCGAAGTGTGGCGGAGTTTTTTTCAGTTTTAAAAAATTAAGAGCATATCATCTCACGCGTTTTGACTCGAATACGTTAGGTTTGAAGTAGAAAAATATCTGACATGGTTCTGTTGAGATGATATGCCTGATTTGATGATGAAAAAAACCCGAAGTGTGGCGGAGTTTTTTTTTTTCAGTTTTGAAAAATTAGGAGCATATCATCTCACGCGTTTTGACTCGAATACGTTAGGTTTGAAGTAGAAAATATCTGACATGGTTCTGTTGAGATGATATGGCTGATATGCCTTCGGCATATATAATGAAAAAACCCGAAGTGTGGCGGAGGTTTTTTTCAGTTTTGAAAAATTAGGAGCATATCATCTCACGCGTTTTGACTCGAATACGTTAGGTTTGAAGTAGAAAAATATCTGACATGGTTCTGTTGAGATGATATGCCTGATTTGATGATGAAAAAAACCCGAAGTGTGGCGGAGTTTTTTTTTTTCAGTTTTGAAAAATTAGGAGCATATCATCTCACGCGTTTTGACTCGAATACGTTAGGTTTGAAGTAGAAAAATATCTGACATGGTTTTGTTGAGATGATATGCCTGATTTGCCTCCGGCATATATAATGAAAAAAACCCGAAGTGTGGCGGAGTTTTTTTCAGTTTTGAAAAATTTGGAGCATATCATCTCACGCGTTTTGACTCGAATACGTTAGGTTTGAAGTAGAAAAATATCTGACATGGTTTTGTTGAGATGATATGCCTGATTTGATGATGAAAAAAACCCGAAGTGTGGCGGAGGTTTTTTTCAGTTTTGAAAAATTAGGAGCATATCATCTCACGCGTTTTGACTCGAATACGTTAGGTTTGAAGTAGAAAAATATCTGACATGGTTCTGTTGAGATGATATGCCTGATTTGATGATGAAAAAAACCCGAAGTGTGGCGGAGTTTTTTTTTTTCAGTTTTGAAAAATTAGGAGCATATCATCTCACGCGTTTTGACTCGAATACGTTAGGTTTGAAGTAGAAAAATATCTGACATGGTTTTGTTGAGATGATATGCCTGATTTGCCTTCGGCATATATAATGAAAAAAACCCGAAGTGTGGCGTAGTTTTTTTTCAGTTTTGAAAAATTTGGAGCATATCATCTCACGCGTTTTGACTCGAATACGTTAGGTTTGAAGTAGAAAAATATCTGACATGGTTCTGTTGAGATGATATGCCTGATTTGATGATGAAAAAAACCCGAAGTGTGGCGGAGTTTTTTTTTTTCAGTTTTGAAAAATTAGGAGCATATCATCTCACGCGTTTTGACTCGAATACGTTAGGTTTGAAGTAGAAAAATATCTGACATGGTTTTGTTGAGATGATATGCCTGATTTGCCTTCGGCATATATAATGAAAAAAACCCGAAGTGTGGCGTAGTTTTTTTTCAGTTTTGAAAAATTTGGAGCATATCATCTCACGCGTTTTGACTCGAATACGTTAGGTTTTGAAGTAGAAAAATATCAGAAAAAATATGTTGAAGTTCAATTATGTGAGTAATATTTTCAATTGGTTTTCTTGTAGGTGATCAAGGAAACTGACACGCATTATGACGTACGTTTTTTCGGCGGTAAATATGAAAGATCGCTGCTCTTGAAGAATTTCGTCAAACCCATTGGAATTTCGAAGGAGAGTTTACAGGTAATGGACAGAAAAAATGATTCAGGCATTATTCTTTGACAAATATCTTTGTAGATAAAACCGACAGCATGGTTCAACAGATCCTATGATGAACTGAAATACCATCAGAAACTACTGAGAGACCCTGTAGAGGCTGAAAAACTGAAGGCAGAAATAAAAAACAAGAAAAAATCCTCTCCAAAACCAAAAAGTTCCAGTTTGAATAATTCTAATAGCAAAAAAACTCCTAAAAACAAGGTGAAAACTAACTAAACATACATATTTGTGAACTTTGTGAATTTATTTTTATTTATTTTCAGGCGAGAAAAAGTAATTCTACTCCGAAATCTACTCCTAGATCTACTCCTAGAAGCTCTAGTATTAGTCTGAAAGAGAGTGAATCATTTTCTGAAGACTCTCCCACAGCTTCTACTTCTTCTTTGAAAAGAAAAGCTGCAGATCCAATCACTTGTAAGTCTGTCAACATAAAAAATAATTATGTTCACTTAATTTTATTCATTTAATCAAGTAAAATATACATATATCATCAAAGAAAATGTATGTCAAATTGTTTCTTATTTCACCTGCATATAAAAGAGTAATATTGCATTTGTAAAATTTCAAATTACATCACAAAAATTAGGAAACTACAAAAGATCATTGATTTCGTTTGCATTTTTTATAAATCAAATTTCTACCCTTTTTTTTTAAGTTGAATTACCAATTTTCAAATATAATGGGACGTTATTGAGAGCCAAACAAATTTTTCTAGCTGCAGATGAGGCTACTGATCAAAAGCATAGACCAATGGAAATTGAACCCAACTCTACCATTTCCGGAAATAATGTGATAGATATTTCTGACGAAGATGAAGATGATCAGGAATATTCATTCAGAGAAAACCTATCCGCCGAAAATTTCAGGTATAATCATCCCTCTGCATTTTTTTCCCGACTAATTTGTGTGTTATATTCACAGTCTGGATGAACCCTATGAACAGGTGACAAGTTCTACGGAAAATTTCGGGAAAATGCTTTCTCCCAGAAGTGAGTCCAGTATGCAACCCTTAGACCAACCATACAGTGATTCTGTGGAAAAGGTAAGTATAACATCATTTCCAACCGGATCGGCCACCAAATGTTCCAGATTTGAACCCACTTGACAAAATTTTCGAGAATTTCTGAGTTTTCGATGTTTCTCTTGGTTTTTAGATGAGGAGAAAATTGGAGTGTCTTCCAAATAAAAAGGAAATCATAAAGTGTGCCATGGATTGCATGCAAATCGAAATTGATCGTATCACAAACGATCATAATGAGCATTTGAAGAGACTGTTTGAATCTCATAATCAGCAAATATCAGAAACAAAGAAAAAACAATGGGTGAGTTGACAATTAGTCAAAGCAAAATACAGGGTGATTTCTATCACCAGTCATTTATCATTTACCATAGTTCTGATGATGATTTTAGAATTTAGGATCAGATTTGATTACTTTCAGGATCTTGACAATGGGAAACGGGAAAAATTCAACGGTGGGTAGAGCTCATCAAGGTGGTTCTGAATATACCATATTTGTAGGGTCTCACAAGTTTTATATCCGAGATATAGGGTGTTTTATCAATTTTGCCCAATTCTTTGTGAGGACATAACTTACGAACCACTCAGTATATTCTTATGCATTTTGGTACACAATTCCTTCTTTTTCAACCAAAGCGACTCACCAATCAGTCACTAAAAAAAATCCAGGTCCGGATTAACAAAAGTTGATATTTCTGGAGACCAAAAAAAACACCCTGTATTTTCGAATTCTCAAAATCCACTTACATATTTGGAAAGTGCACAAAAAGCTGAACCGAATGGTATAGTTAAAGGAATTTCTGTTTTTGAATTCGCAGTTTTATGCATTTGGATAGGTAAAAATAATATGTTTTGAGTTTTCCCAATCGAATAACAACAATTATCACGAACCACCCAGTATATTCTTCTGGACTTTTGTACACGAGTTCTCCTTATTCTACCCAAGCGCCTCACCTATCATCCACGGGAAAAATCCAGGTCCGGATTAACGAAAATTGATCATATTTCTGGACCCTAACAAGAACATCCTGTATTTTCGAATTAGCAAAATCCGCTTACATATTTGGAAAGTGCACAAAAAGCTGAACCAAATCGTGTACTTTTCATCTTCCCACACGCAATTCCACAAAGGAATTTCTGATTTTGAATTCGAGGTTTTAAAAATAATATGTTTTGAGTTTTCGCAATCGAAGAATATTATCACGAACCACCCAGTATATTTTTTTGGAATTTGGTACACGAGTTCTCCTTGATCTACCCAAGCGCCTCACCTATCATCCACGGGAAAAATCCAGGTCCGGAATAACGAAAATTGATCATATTTCTGGACCCTAACAAGAACATCCTGTATTTTCGAATTAGCAAAATCCGCTTACATATTTGGAAAGTGCACAAAAAGCTGAACCAAATCGTGTACTTTTCATCTTCCCACACGCAATTCCACAAAGGAATTTCTGATTTTGAATTCGAGGTTTTAAAAATAATATGTTTTGAGTTTTCGCAATCGAAGAATATTATCACGAACCACCCAGTATATTTTTTTGGAATTTGGTACACGAGTTCTCCTTGATCTACCCAAGCGCCTCACCTATCATTCAAGAGAAAAATCCAGGTCCGAATTAACGAAAATTGATTATATTTCTGGGCCCCAAAAAGAACACCCTGTATTTTCGAATTTCCATAATATGCTTACATATTTGAAAATTGCACAAAAAGCTGAATCGGATTGTCTTCTTTTTATTTTCATACGAATGCTATTTCACTACTGAATTTCTGCTTTTGTATTTGAGGTTTTATGTATTTGGATAGGTAGAAATCGAGGTAAAATGGAATGTTTTGAGTTTTCAGAATCAGAAATCAATTAGTGAAAGAGCATGCGGGATATTGAAAAGTACAAATATAGAATCGGATTTTGGAAATTCCAAAATACTGGGTGTTCTTTTTCGGGCCCAGAAGATCATAATTTTTCGTTAATCCGGACCTGGATTTTCATCGTGACCGATAGGTAAGTCGCTGGGGTAGAAGAAGGAGGACTTGTGTACCAAATTCCTAAAGAATAAACTGGGTGATTCCTGATTCGTGATAGTTTTTGTTATTCGATTGGGAAAACTCAAAACATTTTATTTTTACCTATCCAAATGCATGAAACCTCATATTCAAAATCAGAAATTACCTAGTAAAATAGCATGCGGAAAAATGGAAAGTACATCATACGATTCAGATTTTCATGCACTTTCCAAATATGTGAGCGGATTTTGGAAATTCGAAAATACAGGGTGATATTTTTGGTGTCCAGATATATGATCAATTTTCGTTGATCTGGTCCTGGGTTTTTCTCGTGAATGATAGCCCAGCGAGCACAAAAACATCTCAGAGATGTTAAAAGTACAAGATTTCGAGACATTGAACCTCCACTGCGATGTTCTGTTCACACATGAATATTATATTATAGAACAGCCAATGTCCGCCGCAGGCGGCAATTATCGAAATGTCCTTGATATGTCACAAAACTACCTTCTCCCTAGTTCTTTTTAAAGCCTTTTCATGGACACAACAGAACATTTTCAACGCGTCCTGCGCACATTAAATCGCTGTAAAAAACCATTTTCGAGGTACTTTTCTGAAGCCTTTTGTCAAAATGAACTTTTGCATTAGGATTCCATTTCCCTTGAATGAAAAAATGCATTAAAAATAGATTGAACATAAAAATATTTTCTTGATATGAAATTACCTTCTTAATCGGTTTCTGAGTAGTACACACAGACATATAATTGGAAATAGGTTTCCCAATTTTTGAAATGTTCTCCACAATGCATAATTCTGCAACTGCCGAGAAGCTGTGTATTGATAAATTCGTACTTTTATATATTGATTACACTGAGGCACCGAACAACACATCTTGCATCTGATGGTCATTATTACAAACTAAATAAGTCTTCTAACACAATAAACTTCACCAAATTCCTTTCTGTTCGTTCGCAGCGTGATGTAACCGTGACACGCTGCAAACGCGAATGCCAATTGCGAACAAGAAGAACAAAATCGAAAACAATACAGAATTCATCGTATTGTGACGTAAGCATGAGACGTTGTGGTGGGGCAAACAAAGAAAGGGCACAAAAGAACGAAAACAATACTTTCAGTATCCTTCTAAGACCTCAAAAAAACATCCCCATGCCTACATTTCTAAAACATCCCAGGGATACCTCTCAGTAGGCAAACAAAGAAATGCCACAGAAGAACAAAAACAATACCTACTTCAATATCCTTCAAAGACCTCTTTGGTCAGTGCATATTATGTCTCAAAATAACATCTTCATGCCAACATTCTCAAAACATCCCAGGGATGTTTGTGCTCGCTGGGAGGTGAGTCGCTTTGGTAGAAGAAGGCGAAATTGTGTACCAAATTCCAATTGAATATACTGGGTGGTTCATAAGTTATGTCCTCACGAAGAATTGAACAAAATTGATAAAACACCCTATATCTTGGATATAATACTTGCGAGACCCTACAAATATGGTATATGCAGAACCACCTTGATGAGCTCTACCCACTGTTGAAGATTTTCCATTTCCCAATGGGACACCCTGTTTAATCAATTCCAAAGGAATTTTGAACATTGAAATTATCAATGTATGTATGTATGTATTTTTGTTTTAGTGTTATAATTGTGAACAGGAAGCTATCTACCACTGCTGCTGGAACTCTGCTTACTGTTCACAAACTTGTCAACAACATCACTGGCAAGCAGAACACAAAATAGTTTGTAGACGCAAACGTCCAATATCATTACCATCAGAATTAGAGGTTTTACCATGAAATGGTGATTTTCTTGGTCTCAAAAGCTGGGAAATTGAATGAGTTTTTTTGAATGTTTTTTTTGTAATGAAACATTTCCAATTGTAGGAAGGGGTGAAAATGCTAGTTTGTAATGTTTTACTGTCTTCAATTTTTGTGATCTGTTGCAAGGTTTTTACAGAGGGGGCCATATTATCACCCAGCATGTAGGTTCTTTATTTTTATAGTATTTTTCCTACTGTCAAATATTTAGAAAAGAAAAAACTTTATACAATTCTTTTATTTGGACTTTTAAGTATAACTAATGATTTTTTATCAATTCATGCATGAGAAATATCAATTGGAAATGTATTTTTGTTATCAAAAAGAACTTTTTTTATTACTGTTCTACAAATAAGAATACCTAATTGTTAATCAGATATATTCAATAATAGAGAAATAAAGTATCACACTTGAAGTTTATAGTTTTACTCCACAATATGAATGGATCCACAAATTATAAAACACAGGATTCAGGGTGGAAACTGAATTAAATGAAGTAAAAATTACAGACCAGTAGGAACCAGAACAACTAATCATCATTAACTTCTACAAAATCAACATTTTTGAAAGCATTAGATATGTCATTGTGTTTTTCCAAAAACTTCAACTCTTCAGTGGTCAACTGTTCCTTCAACTGCCTCAAGGCAGTTAAAATTTCAGCCTGAAAACAATTGTCAGTTAGATACATATACTCATGTGTTTTCATCCCAGCAATTCCTTACCTTTTGCCTGTCTCTAGCCTCAATGCTCAGCTTGTTCAGTCTCAAATCTTCCTCAACTACAGATAATCTCTCCCTCAACTGTTTTGGCTCTTTTCTTCCAAATAGACGAATAACTTCTGGTGTTTTGAATGCTTGTGATATGGCCGCTTGAGTTGCCTAAAGACATTAGCATCAAATACATTACTATGCTCCACATGAACTTCAAATACCCACTAATTGTACAGCTCCTAAAGTGCTAATCAAAGAGATATCTCCATTAACAAGTTTGGTAAGGCTGTCGTTCAATTCTTTGAGCTGCTCTATGGTGTCATTTTTCGTTTCCTCATACTCATCGTCGTCTAGATCGTTTCTGTTTGGTGAAAAAGATAAATCGAGCACAAGTGTCAGGAATGCACATAAAAGGACTCACTCACTTGCAGTTTTCCAAGTCTTGAAGCTGTTCAACTAGCCTGTCTAACTGTCCTTCAAGATTGTGCTTGAGTGTTTCCGTCTCTACTTTACCGTAAGAAGACATAATAATGACAAGAATTTGTGGAAAAGATATCGTTGTGCTAGATTCCTGACATTTTTCAGATTTTGAGGTTAGTAGTTAGTTGGAGTCGGAAGATTTTGTTTATTTTGACTTGTTGACGTTCGCCATAGTGGTGTAGCTTCGACATACGTTTTCCTCCCCTTTCACGAAACGACGATTATTCTTGAACGTCAAAGAAGGAAAGGTAAGGAGAATAGTAGTCTGTGATAAGTGAGTGGATAATTTGAAATGAGCTCTGATTGGATGCGTCAGTTCATCGAAATTCCGTCAGAGGGTTTTTGTGGAAAACGTGAAAGCCGCGTGTCATTATTTCTTGAAGTGAAAATTATTCGGAAAATAGTGAAAAACCCAGTGTCATTTGATTTCCACGGGTGGATATCACGATCGGTTCGTTACTGACTTTGTGTCTTGAAGAAACTACAAGGAAATTGCAGTATAGAAGCTCGTGAAATGTATTTAGTGTATTACTCCGCCATTTTGGAATCAACTTAACCTTCGATAGAAACAGAATTGAAACTATTTCTGATATTGAGAAAAATCTGTATTCATCGATGCATAAACTAGTGCTCTCTCAGGTAAAATGCCTAGAAGCACTTTAAGTACTTTCGCTAAAGTTCAGTGATGTGTCAATCGTTAACATATGCATTTTCGGGGAACTGATCTGCCACGGCTGCAGTAGAGGGACCTGGTGCCCCAGCCTAAAATGAGCAGCAATCCCAAACAGCCAGGCTCAGGAGGGCCACAGACCCAAAGATACACATCATTACCGTATCCTTTTCAATACGCCAAGTGATAGTAGAAGTAGATACTCCCCATCTGTCAAAACTTTTCAAAGTGACAATTTATTTTTTCAAAATACCTAACCTTTTTCAGCTAACAGATTTCCGAATAATTTTTTTATTCACTTTGAATTTCTTCATCAGTGATTCTGGAGATGGTTATGATCAATTTTGTAAAACTAAAATTGAATGCATTGTTTTTACATTTTAAATAGTGCTTGGTCACAGATATCATTATTCAGTAGGTAGGTAGGCACCTGGTAGGTAGGTTAGGCATGTTGGGTAAACCTGCAGATATTTTACATTCTCCTGCTTTTGAAGTAGCAACAATCTAATCCATATGGTACACAGAAATATTCAACAGCACTTCAGATGAATTAATTGTTGTAGAAATTGAATTTAACTAATTCTGCTTACATTCAACTTAATGATTAAAGGATAATTAGTTTCTATTAGTGACGTCTCAAGTGGTATTACATCATAATATGACTCCTGGAAAAGTGTTCAATAATTAATGTAAGTGGTGAGAGTGTATAAACCTACATTTCACATGTACCAATTTGTTTGGTATTACATAATTGAGGTATGATAGAAAAATATATTATTTTTGCCACGTTGTGAATATTCAACACTGAAATAAGGCTCTACTAGCCTACTGATCTGTTTTGTGATTAATACTGTTCAAATAAATTTGTGCAGTAGTGCAGCAGGAAGGTTTTAAAGGTAATTTTGCCTAGTTCATAAACTGTTTGGGATGTGTTATTTTGTCTATTGTACGTGAGTTGCTTCTAATGAGAGTTTCCTTTGAAGTCGCATAATTAGATGGTCATGTTGCGCTTCCACTGCTTCCAGTATGCCTACGTCAAAAATCTTGCGAAATTCAAAAGTATCGTGGTTTTATGATGAACGTTCGTTCGTTCACAGAGCCACAGAGCGCATGCTCGGCCGTTTCCTGGTGGTGGAAATCGGAACTAATCGGAAATGAAATGAGTCGATAGTCGATTGAGTCGATACAAATGCAAGATACAAGATACAATGGCGTTTGTCGCCAAAAACCTATTTTGACTTGACATTGCCAGTGAACGTTCGAAAATTTGTTGATTAAATTATGAAATTACTTTGACGAGGTTTGTGTGTTCAAAAACGTTGTGAAAGTTTTGAAGTTGCGTCCGATCGAGTATCGCGACAGTGTGGACAGTCGGAAAATAGCGAAAATTGTCGTAAAACGCCCTTATTGATTTTCGCTCATGGGTGCAGCGAGACGTGCTTCGCATGTTCGCGTTTCTATATGGTGGAAATTGAAGAAAATCGCTTCATCAATCGCCTAAATGTGTTCATTGTGATTAGCCAAAGAAGGAAATTCCATTATCACACGTTCCTTTGATTCCTGCCGTGTTTTCTGCTCCTCAGTGGTTGCAGAAATCCGTGTCTGTTCGAAATGTCGAGAGCAAATCCAGAAGGATTCACGTTACATGCAAAATTCAACGGAATCCCGAATTTTCGTACGCCGCGGTTTGGCCCTGCCATGACTTCCCAACGGAATTGAACGAATCCGTCATTCTTTCGAAATTTTTCGTGATTCGGTCAACATGGTCTCGAGGTACGTGAAGCCAGAAGGGATATGTCTGTTTCCGCCTTCGCATCACTACAGGATGATGCCGCCACAAAGTAAGTGGTTTTTATTTTGCATGGTAAGCATGGTAGGAAGCAAGGAAGCAGGTAGGATAGGAACGCACGTGTGCATCTGCTCCATGCTGAACTCGAGAAAAATCAATAGCGCTGCATTGCAAGTTGCAAGGCAAGGAGAGCGACGAACCCGTCTCTCAGGCCCCGATTTCCTAGAAGTCCCCCTAATCCTAAAATTTCGACCGTCTGCACAATGCACTCAGACTCAGCCACTCACACTCATGTCCGTTTCTTTCTCTCTCTCTCTCTAGTCTTGATCTGAGCATTGACCTGGTTTACACATGGTTTTCATGGCATTTTTTATCCATCACAATATTCTTTTAGAGGACAACTTATTGAAAAAACGTAAAAACTTTATTTATACCTATCTTCAGATTGAAGGTACCTTAGTTTTTGTGCATACTAGCAAGAATTCTTTATTTTTTACAATTCTTTCAGTCCCTCCAAATAGGGATTGAAGAAAATCATTCAACCCTGTGTGACTAAAGTGTGTTACATCAGTATTTTGGAGCAAACTAATACAATAACCAAATGGTACTAGATGAATTAAATTCTAATAGTGGTTCGGAACCCACTTTCAGCTGTAGGTCCCGCTCTTCCTAGCCTCGTACAAGTTTTGGTTTCCAACTTCAACATAGCAATAAACAAATTTAATTTTTGTCAGTCACAGGTTACCTAATTTTAAGGATAAAGTTCTGTAAACTGCAAATAATATGTAGGTAAGTATACCATTTGTGGAACTGACTGAAGTGAATTAATCCACTTCTGTGTCCTGGTAATCAATTTATTAAGACAATAAACACAACTTTTGGTTTTTTTTGTGAATATTATTCGAGGATTGAGGAGGGGCTTTAGGGGGGGGGGGGGTAATTACCCCTCACCCCCCTCAAATACGCGTCTGTATTGTATACAGAGTGGTTTGTAAAGACCACATAAAAATGAACGAACGGGTACTCCTCATGAACCACATCATACATAATGGGGATTCCTTTTCATGCTGATCATGATTGATGAAAAAAAGAAAAACTTCTATTACATGTAATTTCCTAGATAGGTATTTATTAGTCAATATAAAAGCTTTATTCAAAAACTAGACAGTTATTCAAGGTCCCTTGATAAAATTTATTTTTTGTGATCTCAGATCTTTCAATTCAGTCATACCAATATTCATATTTTCAACTGATTTCTAGAGCACCATTTCAAAACATTCTGTTAGAGAGGTAGAGGAACGTCAATAAGAACTGAAAGGTTATGAAGCCACCTATTTATTTTACCAATATTTGCCTACATACCTCCTCTTCATAGGGTAAATGCACTTTTTCTCGCTTTTTCTCGACTAGTTAACTGAAATCTCAACTTTGAGAGTGTTAAATTCAGTTTAAAAGCTTATAACATTGTATTGGAGTTAGTATAGGTATACTGATTCCTTGATTTGAAAGTAATTTGTAAGTATGTTTCAAGCTTTTTTTGGCCATCAGATTGATTCACAAGTGAACAACATGATTGAAAAACACTTGACGTGTGAAAATTATAATGCAAAAATAATGTTATACTCAGGCAGACTCCTAAAAACTGAAGAACTAAAAAAATACTTTTTTCTACGGCTATAACACAAAATTGCTCTGGTTCTACTGTGTTCCATACATCAATGAGGTATTTTGTCATCAATTTTATTTCCGTTTTTGATATCACAAACACCATTGCGTTATAATTTCAGAAAAATCTTGTTACAGCCGTGAAAAAATATAGTGTATAACTCGCACGGAATGCTCTCATGGGAAATCACCATCATTCCATGCTCGTTAAACAATATACTAATTTTCAACAGGAGTCTAATGGTCATTGTCCCTGTCATTGTTTTCAATTTCTAAAAGAGCTATGAACAATAAAAATCAACATAAATTGACTTTATGAATCTGTACAGCTGCAATAATAATATAAAGGCACTTCATGGTAAAATTTGTAAAATTTGGTAAGTATTTTAATGTAAAAATAATATTATGCATTCTGTCTGTTTTTTTCTTGAAATACATAAAAAACTATATCTACTGATTGATATAAAACAAACATCACCGAATGCATTCAAAATTAAATTGATTCACTATTTTCTGGCCTGGTATCAACTAGCACTTTTCAAACATGGACAATAACACACTAGGCACTAGCACAGCCTCTGTCAATGGCAGACGGTTATTAAATTATTTTCTGTGCGAAAAGCTAGACTTTTTTCTCCACTCTGCCAGCTTTTTTGAATTAAAAGAAGTGGCCGAAAACACATTTTCAATGGTAAAAAGACTATTTCTCTTATTATTTTGTCACAAATGCCAGAACGGTCGAAAACCAGTGCCGACCGGTTAACCAGTGCATCTACCCTTTAAAGCTGCATAATGAAATAGGTATTCTAATTTTCTATGGTATCCAAATATCTAGTTGAAATTCTATGTAAGTCTGTTCATACTATAAGGAAATAGGAGTTGAATAACAGTTAGGTATTTCCGCGTAAGGACTTCTTGCAAAATGATGAATTCATTGTGACATACCGAGTTCTTCATCCAGATTCGTTGGTCGTGTAAACCAGGTCACGGGGAAATTTCCCGAGTTGGGCGACGTTTTTGTCCGATAGAAACCTTGACCATTGTGTCGAGAAATAGCCTCTCTGGTCGCCGCCTACCTTAGTATTTTATTTTTTTATTGTGAATTCCGTTTTTGTGTTAGAGTCGACAAACGAGATGTCAATGAGCCCGTCTGTAGCCCAATGGCCTCAAAAACGGCAGATAATGATCGAATCATCTTTACCTACCTATATACCAGGGTTGGCATGAATTAATTCATATGAATTAAATCAGTGATTTAATTCGTGAATTAATTCCATTGACTTTTTTCGAAAAAGTCATGAAATCATTCAAATTTTTAAAAATGAGACAAATTGCACTGTTACCTTTGATTTTAACTAGTTTAAACTGAAAAACTCGATCGTATTTTGGCAAGACTTTATTTCAAGCATGACAGAGATTTTCACTAACAGATATATACAGAACAGGTTTATTATCACAGCATCGAATTTTTTTTTCTCCCGGCGATCCATTATGCATATCCGATAACTTGAAAATCGATTTTGACACATGTCACGTGATCACTGGTATGGCGATAAATAAAAACTATACTATAAAGCGACGAAAAGTGGGGTTAGATAACAAAATATCCATAAACATTTCTTATTAAGTTGCTATTCCACATTCAGTTTCGATCAATTTTTGAATATTCTTCAATGTTGTTACAATTCTCTTTTTTTATCTGACAGTAGTGATGTTGATGATGTACAAGTTGAATAGAATTCAATTTCATGCTCACATATGGAGTTTCCAGCCATTATTTGAGAGAACTGAAAATAGCTATTTTTATTTTTTTTAAATAACTTCATCTTCCCATCTAACCCCACTTTTTGCCATCGTAATTTTTTGAATTTACCGCCATACCAGTGATCAAGTGACATGTGTCAAAATCGACTTTTAAGTAGTCAGACATGCATAATAGATCCCCGAGAAAAAATGTTTCGATATTCTACTAATAAACTTTTTCTCCATGTGTTACGAACTTTATGGATGATACTGGATCTATATGTATCTATTATTTTGTATTCTATCATCACTTTTAATTTTGTTTTGAAAAAATTACATGAAATATTATGATGTTATTCTTCAAGATTTCTGAAGGGAATAAAAACATAGTTTTTTTGTTTCTTTTTTTCTATTTCGCTTTGGGTAAATGAAATTTTTTTTTAAATGAATTAATTCAAAAAAGTCTGACTTAATTCAAAAAGTCGGACTTTGATGATTTTTTTTATAAAAGTCATGACTTATTCCAACCCTGCTATATACAGAGAAAACGGCCAGGACTGTAACTTTTGAATTATTCGGGATAGGGTTTTGAAAATTGGAGGGCAGCTAGTATACCAATATGCTCATTAATTGACGAAACAATTTTTGTTTTATCACTTCCGGTTTTCCTGGAAACGACACCAACTTCCGATTTTCAAATTCCATTCCATAATCGGTTAGGGATTGTCATAACGAATTCATCGATACCGGGTTTGATAGGGTCATTTTAAACGATTAGGCAGATATTCTCGTTCTAAGTTTCCATATGCTCAATGAGTGTGACAGAGAAAGAAGTTTTGATATTGTGAAGTCACACCCATTGTGCATATGGAAACTTCGAACGCAAATATCTATGTAATAGTTTGACATAACCCTATCAAACCCGGTATCGTTGAATTCGTCATGATAATCCCTAACCGATTATGGAATACAATACAGGGTGTCCCATTTAAAAATCAAAAGTTGGGGTCGTTTCCGGAAAAACTGGAAGTGATGAAAGAAAAATTGTGCAATCAATCAATGAGCTATTTGGTATACTTGCTACCCATCAATTTTCAAAACCCTAGCTACAATAATTCAAAAGTTACAAACCTGGCCGTTTTTTGGGTGTTTGGCCAATTTTTAACTGATTAGTTTTGGGAAATTGAATTTCAATGTCCCAAAAATTTCAATCATTGAAATGCATATCTTTTGTTTGCTTTACCTATTTTCAATTATGAAAGTAATGTACCCAGATCATTCAACTATTGTGAAGAGGTAATCATACATTGAATAAACGAATTCAATTGGTTTTTTTATTATTCACTCTAAAACCTACCAGCATAAGTTGGTCTCAAATGTTTGTAACAGTAAATCTTTTTTTTCTTTTTCATTCATATGCAGATCATCTTATCACAAAGAGGCAATTGATCTCTCCTTTTTCTATATAGATAGGTACAGGGTGATCAAGAGGATTAAACTGGGTTCAACCCCCAATAATTTATCACCCTGTAGGTAATCAAAAACTCCTAAAAGCCCTAAATATTGAGTTTTCCGAGTGCAATATGTGTACCAAGTTCCAACTCATCAGAAAAAAAAAACGAACAAATTTCACTCTCGATTCCCTGTATATCGAAAACGGAGTTCTCGCGCATATATGTACACATGACATTTTCATCTTGAAAATATGTGTTCTTCAAGATGTCAAAATCCTGTTACAAAAAACTGACTCACCCTCTATAAATCGAGATATCAATAAATTACTAAATTAGTACATGTTCGAAAATGTTGGTTTCTCCCATTCTTTATTGTGGTGAACATTGATTCTCATTGGTTTGAGATTCTCTTTCACAAACATCACAAGTTGTTTTGAATTTGTTTACGACTTAAAATTCTAGGAAATATCCAGGTCAGGTGCAATTTTGTTTGTTTATTCAACTGCATTTTGCCATCTGATGCTAGTAAATGGAGGTAATCCTGAGAGTTAATCGCATTCACCATATTTGTTTATTATGGTCTGCACTCTATACAGGGTGTATGATATACCTATACCCATCGACTAGATTCGAGACTAGAATAAAGTGATAGGTATTAACTAGGAGACATTTTATTTGACCATATTTCAAGGTTATTTTCATAAACAAACCAAATAGTGATGATAATTTACAACGTGGTATTCTACTCAATGATCCCTTAGATCAGTTATTGTTTTTTCCATGTAAATGAGTTTTAATATCTGATCGCCCTGTATTTGTAATGTTACAATCGTTTGTGCAGAATGACCGGTTTTTAGAATGTAAGTGAAAGTGAGTTTGCATTATTAGTCTCGTCGTCGAGAGTCTTGGTCATAATATAAAATCAAATCACTTATTTTTTCTTGTTGATTACATAAATTCTACCGCATGTTATCATTTACTGGACAACTAGGGTTGTGTGAATTTCGAATAGCTATAACCATGAAATAACAGTTTCTTTTTGTGTTTTATACCTGAGTTCTAGGCTAGGTTGTTGTTGAGAAAATCAAAGCTATAGGTACAGTCGTATTCAATAAAAATGCGTACAAGTATTAAATATAGAAGATTTCGGCATTCTAGTTCTCTTTGTATAAAATTGCCTCAGCCAATGCTTGTTTTTGAGAACCTATGATTACTCTACTGTCAACATTTGGTAAACATTCATTCCCGATAGCACGTTTTACGTAAATAGGATGACGTTAATTTCTCCCTCCAATATACTTGTACGCTTTTTTTGAATACGACTGTACATACATACCTATTTTATATTCATCAGGTTTGCCTACCTACAAGCCATTCGGCATCCCATACCAATAAATCACCATACATTTGTCATAAGCAAAAGCCTCTTCAAACTGACTTTCATGTATTTGCATTTATGAATAATTAACCCTACCTAGCTTCCTGGTAATCCTGGTAGAACAAAATATTATGAATTTGGCTCGAAATTTGGATTAGTACCTACTTCTTGTCTAATGACCTTTTTATTGATCATAATTAACGTTTGTTGAGAAAAAAATCCCAAACAAATGTAACCTACCCTGCATTTTTACTAATTACTATGGAATCAGTTATCAGTTGAGTTTTAACTGAGTAACAACCACGATCCACGAAAAGTTAGTTTGTTAATAGTGAAATTGAGTGGGAAATGGAATAAGATTTTTTGATATTTTTCCGGTTTATTTGAATTTCCTTAATGTGGACTTATAGTTACCAGCCTATAACACAGACAACGAATAGTAAGTATTATTTTTTTATGAAAGGAAAGGTAGTCTCCTTTTGAGTTTTTCCATTTTTTTTTCTCTAGGTACACATCTTCATAATCTAGTCTATGAATATGTGTTTCAATGGATGTTTGATTGTTGTGTTTACATTTCTCGAAATTTGAATTGTGTGAGAGTGGATGGCAGTTTTCTGTGTATAGTTGATTAAAAAAAAGAATAGAATTTCAAAAAATGCGTCGGATGTATTTCAAATTTTTCATACGTTTTCAGACCCATGCATTTTTGTCTCAAAAATTAATTGTTATCAGATACAAATCACAAAATCCCTACATGAGAATCTATTGTGTGACATATTTTTTTTAATATAAATGAAATTAACTCGACGCTTTCTGATATAAAAATGAAATTATATACAGGGTGGAGACTTTAACCAGGCTTCACCCATCATAATTTTAAAGTGTAATTTTGTATTCTTTTTGTATTTGTTTTTGTAATTTTAATATTTTGTAACGTGAATGAATAAATATACACCGATTATAGGGCATTTCCATCAGTTTGCAATAACACTTCATCTAGAACTGTGAATACGGCAAAAAAACTAAATTTCTTTTTGCGGCTTTATAAAAACATTGGAATACAATAGCAGATAGCAGTTGTGGTAAAAAATTGATATCAATTGTTCAACACACATTTTGAGCTATTGGTATATTGAAAGAGTATTGAATATTAAAATTACATTTTGATTTTAAGCAACCTTTAAACGTTTGAAAAACTAAAATTTGACTAGTACACTTGATTCCTCTTTCGCTAGCTTTCCAATGAGGGGTCACGAGCCATAGGGTTACATTTGAAAAAATCATGTTGAGCGGGGTTTCAACTACTCCTGGAGGGGTATCCTCGATAAGTCGATATTGCTTGCAAAAGGTAGATGAATACATGAATCGTTGACGTATGCCGGGAATTTTTAGAAAAAATATTCACCATGAAATTATTTATTTTGGAATTCAAGTAACAATATGACCATTCAAATTGAATTCAAAATGACTAGATAATTTTAAATAAATACAACCGAGCATACAGCAAATGATACTTTTTGAACGAGGGGTGAATCACGGGCCAAAATTGTTTACATTAGACTTCCTCTTTCAAATGAATTCCCAGAATTCCTGGAACTACTCAAGGAATTCCTGGGACTGCCTAAGGAATTCCTGGACTTCCCAAAGACTACCTGAATTTCCAAAGATTTTCCAGAATCCAAATAATCCCTAGACTTCCCAATGAATTCCCGGACTTTCCAAGGAATTCCCTCTTCGGGTACACTGGATTTTTCACGTGATTACCCCCTCGTTATTGAAAACGAGGGTATACAGTGTGTCCCACTTACCATGCTCACCATGGGTATCTTTTTAACGGTGAGAGATACGAGGTCGGTTAAATGACACCAAATGTGGAGTTTGTCAAGGCCAACTAAATATGAAAAAATATTTTGATAAAATCTATTCGTTTTTGTTTTATACGAAAAAACTCCGATTAACTTGAAATTTGGCAGGTGCTCATAATTTCGGTGACAATTCATTATGGAATTTTTGTTGAAATAAAAAAAAATGGCTGCTCCAAGATGGCGGACAAGATTTGGTCCGATTCCATTTAAAATTGGTAAGTGGGGGTTTTTGAGGTCGGAGATTATGATTTTTTTGTTAAAATTTATAAAATCAAGATGGCGGCTTCCAAATAATTTTTTGTTTTTGTATAAATGACGATAACTCCGTTGTTATCAAGACAAAACTATTGTTGCGACATATCATCTCTGAGAGAGAAAAAAAAGTTATTTGTTACTAAGTCATAGTGAGCTATGACCTACATTTGAAAAACTAAAGTTGGTGCTGATGTCTCAAATTCTAGAAGAGTTGGTATAAATTTCATATTTTTCTCGAAATCACTTTGAAAAACTGCCATGGGAATGTGAAATTCCTATCTGAATATTTTCATAAATGAAGAAGTTACGGAGGAGACATGAAAATGATCAAAATCTGTTTTTTGCGTATAAAACAAAAACGAATAGATTTTATGAAAGTGTTTTTCACATTATAGTTGGCCTTGACAAATTCCACATTTGGTGTCATTTAACCGACCTCGTATCTCTCACCGTTGAAAAGATACCCATGGTGAGCATGGTAAGTGGGACACACTGTATTCATCACTTTGTCGGTGTCAAACAATATTGTCTTTTCCTTTAGGAGCTGAAGGTTTCTCCGTACCGAACCAGCAGGGCGCGTACGGGCCCCCGCCGCCTCAGCAACAGCAGCAGCAGCAGCAGGGCCCCCCCGGTGGTCTGCGGGGCATCGCGCAAGCGCAGAGTGGGGCCCCGCCGCCCCCCAATCAGGCGCCGACGCCGCCCAATGCCGCCGACCAGCTCAAGGTGCAGACGATGCAGCAGCAGCAGCCGCCTTCCATGAATCATATAGTGAGTGACGAATTGTTTTTTTTTCCACAGGCGTGCGTGATTCACCTTATTTTTTTTCTACTACTGCTATGAAAAGTAGCGCATTTCTTATAACTTACTTGGTTTCAAAACCATGTATTGCCCATACTGTGAGAGATATTTTTTCTCACGGAACTTTGCCAACACCACATACATTTTCATGGAGAATCAACGCAGAAATCGACCAAAACTTGGCTGCTGTTCAGCTTTGAATAGTTGTCACAACTGTCAGAAGAAGTTTTTCAAATTCTTTAGGGTAGTTCTCAGTTCTAAGGTTTCGATGAACTAATGTTCCGATTGAATACAGTTCCTATGGAATACGGTCCCGATGAATTACTGTCGCTATGAAATACGGTTTCGATGATCTAATGTTCCGATGGAATACAGTTCCTATGGAATACGGTTCCGATGAATTACCGTCGCTGTGAAATACGGTTTCGATGATCTAATGTTCCGATGGAATACAGTTCCTATGGAATACGGTTCCGATGAATTACCGTCGCTGTGAAATAAGGTTTCGATGAACTAATGTTCCGATTGAATACAGTTCCGATGGAATACGGTTCCGATGAATTACTGTCGCTATGAAATACGGTTTCGATGATCTAATGTTCCGATGGAATACAGTTCCTATGGAATACGGTTCCGATGAATTACCGTCGCTGTGAAATACGGTTTCGATGATCTAATGTTCCGATGGAATACAGTTCCTATGGAATACGGTTCCGATGAATTACCGTCGCTGTGAAATGAGGTTTCGATGATCTAATGTTCCGATGGAATACAGTTCCTATGGAATACGGTTCCGATGAATTACCGTCGCTGTGAAATAAGGTTTCGATGAACTAATGTTCCGATGGAATACAGTTCCTATGGAATACGGTTCCGATGAATTACCGTCGCTGTGAAATGAGGTTTCGATGAACTAATGTTCCGATGGAATACAGTTCCTATGGAATACGGTTCCGATGAATTACTGTCGCTATGAAGCAGGGTTCCGACAAATTATGTCCCGATGGAATACTTTCATGCTATAAGACTAAAAAATGTGCCTAAATTCCAATTCCTATTGAGAATCATATACAAATTATTATGAATATTTCATTTTCTATAGTGCCTGTCAGCATTTTGGACAAAATAAATCATAACACTATATCAGCTTGGTTTTTGTTTGTGGGTTTGTTTGTGACAGAATCTTGGAATGTGATTTTGACCCACTTCAAACGTCCGATTGATTTGAAATTTGGCAGGTGTTTGTAATTCTGGGGACAATGTATCATTAAATTTTAGTTAGACAAAAAAAATGGTGGCTCCAAAATGGCGGACGAGCTTTGTAATTATGATCGGATTCTATTCAAAATTAGTATCTAGGGTTTTCGGGGTCGAAGATTAAGATTCTCTCGTCAAAATTTGTAAATTCTAGATTGCTGATCCAATATGGTGGACGAATTTTGTAGTTATGGTTCGATTCTATTGAAATTCGATATTTGGGGGTTGTTGGGGTCGGAGATTATGATTCCATCGTCAAAATTGGGAAATTTAAGATGGCGGATAAGTTTTGTAATTATAATCAGATTATATTCAAAATTGGTATTTGGGTTTTTTTTTGGAGTCCTATATTATGATTCTTCCGTCAAAATTGGCTACTTACAAAGTATATAATAATACTAAAAAACACGCTTTTGTAGTTAGCCCAACTGAGAAATAAAAAATAAATAGTAGATGGAAAAACTTAAGAAACACGATTTTATAGATAGCCAAACTAAAAAGAAGTAGTAAATAAAATAATAAAAGTTTGTTGATAAATGCACAACATAGAATATACTGATTATGGAGGTGCTAATATTATTTTATTTTCTACTTCTTTCAGTTCTTTTCAGTTTGGCTATCTATAAAATCGTGTTCCTCCACTTTCTTACTTTCTATCATTTTGGAAACTATCCTGGTCAACATGTATACACTTATATTCGATACTCCAACACCAAACCACTTGAACAATTCGAAAAAAATGATCGAGAAAAGTGTCTTGCCATCGCGATAATTCCCAGTATCAAACATGAAATAAGAATGTACACGTTTCGAGTAGTTTCAGATAGCAGGTTTCTTATCAGTAGACGTCGCACGATAAAGTAAAAATCGTTTGGATGGCACTGTGTGTGACAGCACACTACTCCATTTCTGTACAGCTCTGACGTGGTGTATTTTCTTTCTTTCTTTCTTTCTTTCATTTCAGCAATACGTGCAACAACAGGTGCGGCCTCCGGCAGCGACGTATTATCCAAGACCGGCCGGTCCGCCCAATCAGGGTCAAAGGATGCAAAGTCACAACAGCAGGGTGAGTATTCCAATAATAAATAATGCTTTCAAACACGCCACATACCCATCTATTTTTCTTACTCCTGTATTACAATACACAATACTTGTAGCATCTGATTTGGCATGGTAATGATGTGGTCTGTGTTGCCACTGTTGCCAGATTTCAATCAATCGTTTATTGGTGTTACTATACAATAAATGTATTTATACAGGTCAAATGTTAAACAAGGTGTCCGGAAACTGTGCTCAAAAAATCAAGGGTGTGATTCTGCATGAGAAAACATGAAATTTATTTCATATACAGGGTGATTCAGGTTTCAAGGCACAAACTGAAATGGGAGATAGATCTCATCCTTTTAATCAAAAAAGTTTATATAAACATTAGTCCGATCTCGTTCAGTAGCGGAGCTACAGGGGGTCGAAGTTTAATTATTTTTTTCTATTAATTGAAATATCTCGCTTACTTTTCAAGATATCATTTTGAAATTTGGTGTGGTCAATACTTCCTAGAAGATCATCATTTCAAGCATTTTAAAGATTTTTAAAATCTACAGGGTGATACGTTTGTGGAGGTAGAGGCTTCTTTATCCTCCTCAAACTTTTTCGTAGTACGCCTCTGGCATCTTTCAATCAATTGTGTAGATCGTTCAATTTAGAGGCTTTTTTTGCTCCTCAATTTTTTTCGAGAAACGAACCGTTTTTGAGATAAATAAGCATATACGTTCTAAAACATGTTAATTTTGCCTATGTTTCGCTTAAATATTTTATTCTTTGACAAAATTCGTTGAGAATGCAATGAAATGTACTCACTAAAATTGAAATCACGAGTCCAATCTGGATGAGTAACGTGAGTAAGAACATTGCAATCTTAGAACATTTTGTTGCATTTTCAACGAATTTTGTCAAAGAATACAATTTAAGCGAAACATAAGCAAAATTATCATGCTTTCGAACGTATACGCTTATTTATCTCAAAAACAGTTCGTTTCTCGAAAAAAATTGAGGAGCAAAAAAAGCCTCTTGAAAATGAAATGAAATTATGAACTATGAACTAGATTTCGAGGTTAATCTACTTCTTCTTCTATAGTTTGTTTTCTAGCCATTTTTCTCTCAAGTCACAGATCACCCAACCACTCTGTGCTCGAGTTCTGTGTCTGTGGTTTTGTGCAACGCATCCTCTTTGGGTCGTCAGAGGAAGCCTCAAGAAAATACAAGTGACGTCACACCGCGAAAAATGGTCGTTTGAAACTCTCTCAATTTGTAGCACTTTTGAAGTAATAATAAAACGGTTGTAATGGAATCAATAGATGAGAGGAAGTGCTATTTGATATACTGAGTCATGTATGAGACTGTTCGCCATATAAAAATGGCTATTTTCAATAATAGTGAAATTGTTTATTCATCAAAGAGATTCCCATATGTTGCACACTTGAATGACCACACTGCATATGAAATGAATCTCAAGTGTTTTCATGCAGAATGACCCCTGCACCGAAACGTAGGTTTGGGTGTCTCAGGGGTTGGGGGTTCTGAGACCAGGTAGCAGGAAGAATGAAAAAACCGCCAATTCTTGAAATACCAATGATTTATTCCCACTTGCTGTCGAGTACTGAGCCAAGCAACTAAAAACTAATAGCCACACATATACTAGTCGTCGAAATAACAATTAACAAAATACATTTCCAACTGGTGGCACTATAAACGCCATTTTAACACACAAGCCAGACTTGCGAGGTCTCAACCATCGATTGATATATTGAACCAGAACTGACGTTGACACTCTCGATTTTAACACAAAAGGCCAGTCACTATTCAAAGGCTATTATTCTTTTTAGTATACTTTCATCTTATTACTCGAATAACACTCAACTTCAGAGAATCTCGCCTTCTTCTACTCAAGACTCACGCGCCCGCCACAGGTGTCTAGATGCCGAAACAATGATAAATAATATTTCCAAATTAGGTCGAGTACGCCACCTATTAATAAATAGATTGAGGCCCGAAACAGGGAAGAGTTCGCGACTGCTGACCGCAAATAATTACCGATCATAATGATATTGAGGTGTAGGACCTGTACTACCAAATTCACCTAGAGGGAACTACTAGTATTTTGGTTCACCCTCTCGATTTTTCGCGCATAATTTCCGGACACCCTGTATATTTGTGTTTCAACGGCGTTGATATGCTGCAGCCGCAGCAGCAGCAGCAGATGTACGCGGGTCCGGCGCAGCCGCAGTACGTGCTGCAGCAGCCCGTGTACATAACCTCAAATTCGGGCGTGCAGTACGCGGGCTACCCCGCCCAGAGGCCGCCCTACGTGCAGCAGATAGCGACCTCCCAAGCCGTCTTCGGCCCGCCCATCGCCGCCTACACTCCCTACAACGCCAATCCCAACCCGCCCAACCAGGTTTACAGTAAGTAGTGCGATTTTTATGAAGTTTCATTTTATTTATTTTTTATTTGTCAAACATATCTTCCAGTCAGAACAAGTTCTGGTATGAGGAAGAACATAATTATAACTATTGTCTGCTAAATTGAAAATTTCGAATTTAAATTTCAATGAAATCAATTCATTACATAATCATGGAACAAGACAAATCAAATTTACTAATAGCAAATACGTTCAAGTCAAATATCGGCAAACAATCCATTTTTCACACAGGAATCGTTCTATACAACTCATTACCAAGTCAATTGAGGAATACAGTGTGTCCCACTTACCATGCTCACCATGGGTATCTTTTTAACGGTGAGAGAAACGAAGTCGGTTAAATGACACCAAATGTGGAGTTTGTCAAGGCCAACTATAATTTGAAAACATATTTTGAAAAAATCTATTCGTTTTTGTTTTATACGCAAAAAACAGATTTTGATCATTTTCATGTCTCCTCCATAACTTCTTTATTTATGAAAATATTCAAATAGGAATTTCACATTCTCATGGCAGTTTTTCAAAATGATTTCGAAAAAAATATGAAATTTATACCAACTCTTCTGATATTTGAGATATCAGCATCAACTTTAGTTTTCCAAATGTAGGTCATAGCTCACTATGACTTAGTTACAAATAACTTTTTTTTCTCTTACAGATGATATGTGGCAGTAATAGTTTTGTGTTGATAACAACGGAGTTATCGTCATTTATACAAAAACAAAAAATTATTTGGAAGCCGCCATCTTGAATTTATGAATTTTATCAAAAAAATAATGATCTCCGACCTCAAAAACCCCCACTTACCAATTTTGAATGGAATCGGACCAAATCTTGTCCGCCATTTTGGAGCAGCCATTTTTTTAAATTGATGGTGGACAAGATTTGGTCCGATTCCATTCAAAATTGGTTAGTGGGGGTTTTTGAGGTCGGAGATCATGATTTTATTGTTCAAATTTATGAATTCAAGATGCCGGCTTCCAAATAATTTCATGTTTTCGTATAAATGACGATAACTCCGTTGTTATCAACACGAAACTATTACTGCGACATATCATCTGTTAGAGAAAAAAAAGTTATTTGTAACTAAGTCATAGTGAGCTATGACCTACATTTGAAAAACTAAAGTTGGTGCTGATATCCCAAATTCTAGAAGAGTTGGTATAAATTTCATATTTTTTTCGAAATCACTTTGAAAAACTGCCATGAGAATGTGAAATTCCTATTTGAATATTTTCATAAATAAAGAAGTTACGGAGGAGACATGAAAATGATCAAAATCTGTTTTTTGCGTATAAAATAAAAACGAATAGATTTTATCAAAATATTTTTTCACATTATAGTTGGCCTTGACAAACTCCACATTTGGTGTCATTTAACCGACCTCGTATCTCTCACCGTTAAAAAGATACCCATGGTGAGCATGGTAAGTGGGACACACTGTATAACCTAATGAGTAATAAATATCTAGGAACCTCTACACAAACATGAGTTGAAGTGAACATGAATAATAAATCATAATAAATCAGAATATCACAATAAATCACAATAACACAAAACAATCAATGAACAAAGAAAAACATTCTAGTCAAGGGCATAACTTACTGATAAATTTTAAACATTTCTCTTAGAAATGATTAGTTTTTATTTCCTTTTTGAATGTACCTATACTTCTGCAGTTTTTAATTTCATCATTCCTGAAATTCCCGATCATTTTTAAGCAAATTTGATCACCACAATTTTTTCAATCTGATGCACGGTTTTCGCTTAAAAACATGAAAATCTTTTCATCACATGATTATAGCAATATCGTTAATATGACAATATCACAATGCAGAGAAATAGATTTTATTTTTTAGATCAAATTTGAGAAATACAATTCATAGTTTATGAACTTCGTATTCTTATTTGGTATTTTGGAATCATAACTTTGAATTTTGGTAGGCTATATTAATTTTTGGTAACTTTACCACCCTGTATTTCAAAAGTTAGGACTTTTAGGTCATACGTTCATATGAAACTTTCTTCTTAGAATGGGCCCCTCCTCGAATATTGACATTAAATTATGAAACACCCTGTATATATTTTTTTTTTTCAAATAATAGTTCAAGTTTATTTCGCGAAAATTGCCCATTTTGTTATGTTGTGCTTTTGGATTTTTGAAGAAAATAAAAAGTACGTTTTTTTCCTTACATTTTTGTATTTTTTCACGTAATAGTTATTTATTATACAAGGGAAAAAAGTAGTAGATTTTAGCTCCAGGTTGTGTTGTCTCCCGACGCGTAGCGGTGGGAGACAAAAAAACCGTGAGCTAAAATCTAATATTTTTCCCGTGTATAATACACTATTTCTTTCTGTGACAGAAGAAAGGATGAATCAATATTGAGAAAATGTTACATTATTTTGAAATCTGAAAATTATCGACGTGAAATTTTAAGTTTTTAACAGTAGGGACACCTGCGTTCTATAGGCATCTTTATCATTCTTTTGAAGTAATCAAATATTTGATGTCACTTCTGTCAGTCTAATTCTGTGATTTAATTTCAAAAAATTGCGAATTTAGTGGTTGTTTAGTAATATTCGTAACCGCGAAGTCGAATGGAAGATAAAAGGACTTGCAGTTCTTTCTCGGAGACGGTATTATTGACTCATTTTTCGGAACTATAGCACAACAAAAGCCATTAACAGAGTATATATATATGTGATATATATCCGGGAAAAAAGTACTCACTTTTTTCCCACGGGAAAAAAGTAATTTATGAAAAGTGACATTTTATAACCTGCCAACAGAGATGAAATGCCAAACTTTTTTCCCGTCACAGAAAAAATGATTTTTTTTCAAGTGAATTAATTCAAAAAATGATTTTCAAGGATTCTCAACATTTTTCAGGGAACATTCAGTGTTCCCATCCACAAAAAAAACTCCCCTTCACTTTTTCTAGACCTGAACAACTACTATTCGACGCCGGTGGTGCGACACCCGCCCGCCCCGCCCGTCAACCCGAACAACCCCGCCGGGCAGAACGTGCCGATGGCGGCGGTCCCGATGGCGGCCGCGATGCCGCCCCCTTTGCAGCAGCCCTTCCAGAGGCAGCCGCCCAATAGGCGGAGGGCCAACGCGCTGCCGATCATCGATCCGACGACAGGTCGGTGAACTGAGATTGTTCTTGTTTTTCTTTGTGTTGGGGGTTGGTTGGGAATTGCTAGGGGTGGAATTCTGGAGGTTTGAAGCAAATTGACGACCGGATTGTAAGAATCAGTAGAGACTTTGACAAAGTTTTATTCAATATCATACAATGGGGAAGTTTCCTTCTGTTCCGTGCGAAAAGCTTCTTTACACCTCAACAGCTTCTCATGATCTACAAAGCGCAGATACGGCCTGTTCTAGAATACTGTTCCCACATATGGGGTTCAGTACCAAAACATACGCTGATGCTCTTAGATTCCATCCAGAGAAGAGCCATTCGCCTGGTGGGTGACGCCACACTCATTCTTTGACATCATTGGAACACCGTAGAAAGGTCGGCGACCTTTCACTTTTCTATCGATACTTCCACATGAAATGTTCTTCGGAAATCTGCGCTATCATCCCTTCACTAGCGATACCAGTCAGACGAACTAGACAAGCCCAGTCAGCACATCTTTTCGTTGTCAACCTTGAAAGATAAAATAAGTTTATAACTCTCCAGTTTTATGTCCACGCTGTACAGAATGGCGACCGATAAAGTTCAAGTCGTTTTCATTTCCAAATTAAAGCAGAATCTAGTCTGAAAATAGCTGATGGTGAAGAATATAGCTAGCAAATGGCTAAGGAATGAAAAAAATTGACGAAGAAGTAAAACTGGTAAACAAAAACATTCATAACCACAAATGCACTAGGGGCAGGAATGCAGAGGGTAGCTGGCTTCATTCTGACAGGTTATGGTTTTCTTATTTATGCATTGAAATATCTCCAATAGAGCTCGATCCTGAACGAAAATATCATTGAATCAATGAATCACTATCGACTACATTCAATGATACTATCATCACTAATTTACTGCCAAAATGAAGCCAACACCCATGGATCCTTCCTCTTGTTGTGCATATCAGTATTTTGAGTGGTGTGGACGGACTCGAAGGCGCTGTTGCAAGATATAATCTGCAACTTTCGTAGAAAATAGATCCGTTTTATTAAGGAACGAATTCGTCAGCAAAAAATGATTGACAAGTTATGAATAACATATTGAAATGTAATGATAGTGGAAAATTATAGATTCTATCGCAAAATATCATAATTTCTCAAGTAGGATTGATTGAAGAACCTATTATATCCCATTGCTGTTATGATATAGTTATTATGCATTCAAAGAACAATTTCCGGAAATATAGACATATTGATGATGTCGGCAACGTCGTACTGGCACAGGGAATCGTATTTTAACTCTGTGTGAATGTGAAAACATAGAAAGTTTCTGGGGGAAAAAATAATTCATTGACATCATTACTTCATTTCCAGATATGAAAAAATATTTGAATTTGGCTTTAAAACGGAGTTTCTAACAATCCTGTCCAAAAATGTCTCACCAGATTTTCTCTATTGCTTCCTTTTCTCCTAACAGATCTGATACAATTTTCCTCACATTATACGTGAATCTATTCTATACAAGTAGTTGATAATCACCGTTTACGTTTTTTTATTTTCCGTATAGGTGCTGATAGACTGCAAGAAATATTCGAAGATAGTTCGCACCCGCCCTCGGGCGACTCCTCTGCCCGGCAGACGCCGCAACCGCCCTCTGCCGCCCAGAATTCGCACAACAAGGAAGTGCAAGCCACCTTCGCCAAACAGGTATTCTATTTTTCATCAACTCACCGAATCGAAAAGTAGAAGTTTTATTTTTCATTTGATTTACTCCCATGGAAGAAAAAAATACTTCCCCCTCCCCGGGAGCTAGAATGAATTGGCTTCAGTTTGCGTCCTTGGCGTCAATATAACTTTGAAATTCGTGCAAGGTAGATAGCATATGGTGTAATCACAGACAGTGTTTTGTTTCTCCCAAAACGCTTGACCGCAGATTCCACAATAATGGCATATTGGTTCTCAGTTTTCCGCAAGATGGCGACCCTTATTACAGATTTCTTTCATGACAGAAAACAGGAAACGGCGCTTGCACCATAAATAATAATATAATAGCATTCATAACATGACCTCAAATCAAATGAGATTAAATTTGGAATTAGGAAACTGTAATTATGGGGAATTTTAATTATCATCAGTTCTATCAACATTGAATTTTTCTTGAGATTTCGCCATCTAGCGGGTAAAATGCGACCTATATTCCGCGATATTAAGAAGAATACTTCTGTCAAGTAGGACGTAGGTCAAGAACTTTGACCGAAAAACGGTAGATGGGCCTTGATAGGAGTTTCTACACCATCTTGTGTTCATCCTGGATCTGTGCTATCCATTATCCAAGTAATCAGTGGCTCTGACACTATTATAAAACGATTATAAAGTTCCTTTTTGTTAGTTAATCGAAACTATGAAATGCAATTACACAATAAACTAATTCATAATGATATGCCATTTGAAATAGAAAAAGTTGACAGTCGACGTTGTTAGAGTTGTAACTAGAAGAAAGATTGCCACTTTGCACCATCTGATGGGATAGGTCATTTCATTCACTCTTCAGTTTTTCAAAAGCAGATATTAAATAGGGGTGCTATGGGTTGGTTTTTTTACCAGGCAGCCTGTATACTTCAGAAAATAACTTGTTTCTGTTCACGCCCTTATAATTAATGCTTGGTCATAACGAAATATATATGATATTGAAGTAGTATTCCTCTACGTCAAATAACCTAACTCGTAGTCAAGATGGCGGGTGTAGACAAGTCGTGCGTCAACAACCCGATCAATAAATTGTGCAAAAGGTGTAAAACTATGGCTCAATCTGGCCCAAAGTGTATCAAATGTGAAACTGTTTCACATAATAGTTGCGTGAAGAAACTCAAAGACAAAGTGATTGTGATAGATGATGAAAAAATCATCTGTTGTGACGTGCCAGACGAAGCATCTAATGATGACAACGCATTTTTCGATGCAATGGAAAAACTCACAGGTGACGAGAAAAAGATAGATATGAATATTTTCAGTTACGTCATACGACAAAAAGACATGCTCATCAGTCAACTACATGAAAACATAAATTTACTAAATGACCAAATCAAATTACTAACTGAAAAAACAAAAACAGAGTTACAATCAACATCATCAATACCACCAACGCCTCCTGGGAGGGATATGACCAAACGGGTTCCACTAGTTGCAAACGTCTCGACCAACCACATAAAGAATTCTGCATCTAGAAATGAACCACAGAACGATACAGGCAGAGGATGTAGTTCTTCGAGCACCTACAAGGTGGCCCGAAGTACCACGAAATCAAAATCAGCTCTACCAACACAGACGAACTCTAGTAATAACAGTAACCAACAAAAGGAATTATATGATTCATCTAAACATAATGACAACAATGTGATTAAGGCTGCGATTCATAATGCACAAACTCTAAGTGTACTACACAAGTATCAGAACATCGAAGATGATATCACTTCCAACAATAATAGTAGTGGAGCAATGCCAGAATCTTCACCGAATAGCCATATAGTCAGCGTCAAAGGCAATAACAAGGTGGATAGTGGAAATTGGACAGAGGTAAGTCACAAGAGAAAACGACGATTTCTTGTAGGCAATAACAGCAACAAAGATCTACCCATACATGCAATTACAAAACGTGTTCGTCTTCATGTCACCAGACTGGAGCCTAATTCAACACCCGAAGAGCTAATGCAGCTGTTGAGGCCTACATTTACTGGCATTGCCTGTGAAAAAATGAACTCAAAACACCCAGACAAATACTCCTCCATGATTGTAACCATTGACAAAGACCAGGAAAGAAACGCATGGAAACAAGATGTCTGGCCAAAGGGAGCCCTTGTCAGTTATTTTTTAGGCAAGAGGACGGTACTGAATCCAACTCTCCCTTGAAGAATAACCTTTCCAACAAATTGATAGATTCAAATACTAAAGCTGACTCCACTATAAAGTTCATTCAACTGAATGCACAATGCCTAACAAATAAAATGAACAAATTAGAGGTTATCTTATCAGAAGAAAATCCTGATATCCTGAGCATAGCAGAACATTGGTGCACAGGAGACAATATTGATCTAATGGTGCTCCCTGACTATAACATGATAACACACTCATGTAGAGCTACAAGAATACATGGAGGAACTGTTATCTATGCTAGAAAGACTCATCATCAAGTACAAGAACTGAAAGTGACTGAATACTCAGAAGAAATGATCTGTGAATGTAGTGCAATAACCTTAATAATCAATAATAGGAAAATGTATATTTTTAGTGTATATCGTCCACCCTCAAGTCCCTTTGACGCATTTATGTGCAAATTTGAGAACATTCTTGAATATGTTTGTAAGCATAACAAGGACATATTCATATGTGCTGATCTAAACATTGACTACCTTGTAAATTCTACTCAAAAAATGTTATTTGAGGAGCTGCTATTCTGTTATAACTTGAAAGTTACGTCTCTTGAGCCAACTAGAGTCTTTACTAATAAAACTGGATATACATCTTCCACTAAAGTAGACTATATAATCACCAATGTAAGTCCAAAATCTTTACAATCGAGAGTCTTTGAGGCTCACTTCAGTGATCATAGGGCTTTTGAATTGAATTACCACATAAAATGTACTGATATGGAGGGTATCAAACCAAAAGATACCAAGATGTATTATAGGAATATGTCCAACAACAACCTCGAAAATCTCTCATTACTATTGACAATGGACAATTTTGATGAAATATATAAAACAGATGATATTGATTCAGCAATTGATTCATTCATGTGTACTCTGCAGTATTACATAGATATATCTTGTCCTATTATATTGTGCAAGAATCACAATGTTTCAAAATCAAGTTGGGTAACTCCTGATGTCAGGAAAGCCAGTAGAGACCTAAAGAATCTGCATTGGTTATCCACCTCATCGAATTGCGACATCCTTCGAGATAAATATAAAGTAGCTAAACTGAACTATGCTGACTTACTCAAAACCGCAAAACTTGGATATCATCAGGATTTGATCAATAACTCCAGCAATAGACAAAAAACAGTATGGAATCTAGTAAATAAGGAAACAGGTAGGAAGAAACAAAGTACTAGCATCACTCTCAGTATCAATGATAGGACGATAAGCGATCCCTCAGACTTAGCAAAAGAATTTGGTGAGTATTTTGCCAATATCACCAAAAATAACCTTAAAGAACACTTTGGTTCAGATAATACACCCAACTCCTGTACGACTACGAATATTTTGTACAATACGTTCTTTTTCAAACCTGTCACTCATGAGGAGGTAACGGACATAATTCGGAACCTAAAAAACAAATGTTGTACCGGGTTAGACAACCTATCAACAAAAATATTGAAAAAAATAAATATCACTATATCTGAACATCTAGCATACTTGATAAATATGTCAATCACATCAGGTAAATTTCCTTCTGCACTTAAGATTGCAAAAATAATACCTATACATAAGAAAAATGATGTCCATAACATTTCCAACTATCGACCCATATCCATATTGAGTATTGTTTCAAAAATATTTGAACGCATCGTATACAATAGGATATCTGATTTCTTAAATAGATTCAGCATAATAAATAATTGCCAGCATGGTTTTAGACATGGAAAGTCCACCCAAACTGCTGCTGCCAGTCTTCTAGAACAAATTTATAAAGAACTTGACAAGGGTAAGCATGTGGCAGGGCTGTTTTTCGACTTGACGCGAGCTTTCGATTGTCTTGATTTTGGATTTATAAAAAATAAACTGTTCAACATGGGATTTAGGGGCATATTCTTAGATTGGATGTTCAACTATCTCACTGAACGGAAAATGATAGTAAAAATATCTAATAAATACTCGGAACTACACAGAGTAGAAACTGGAGTTCCTCAGGGATCCGTGCTGGGACCGTTGATTTTCTTGCTCTTTATCAACGACTTACCACAGCACATGAGTTCAAATGTACTTACACTATTTGCTGACGACACATCTATAGCGGTCTCAGCAGGATCCCATGAGGAGCTTCAAGGATTAGTTGAGGACGTCATTCTGAAGTTTTGCGGCTGGTGTAACAGAAATGGATTGATTCTGAACTTGGGCAAAACTGAATGCATTTACTTTCATTCACATAATGCTCCAAGTAATGAATTGCTATTTCTCAATATAAGAGACACACAAATAACATCAACAACTTGTATTAAATTCCTAGGAGTCTATGTTGATCACAATCTGAGGTGGACTGATCACATAACGCACTTAGTGAAAAAACTCAATTCAACCTACTTTGCGATTTCGCGGATAAAACATTCTTTGCCCACAGATGCCTTATTGAATGTCTATTACAGCCTCGCATACAGCAATCTGACCTATAACATTGTCTTATGGGGTCAGTCTATAGATAGGCAGAAAATATTTGTTGCCCAAAAAAAAATCATAAGGAATATTTTTAACATGCATCCTCAGGATTCTTGCAAGCAGGTCTTTATCAAATATAACCTCATGTCTTTTCCATGCATCTACATATACAGAAGCCTACTGTATGTGAGGGAAAATTTATCCAAATATACCAAAAAGTCATCATTACATAATTACGAAACCAGACATTCTGACTTTTTATCTATCCCTAAACACAAAACCAAAAAATTCGAAAATTGCATTTCATATATGGGAATCAAAATGTATAACCATCTTGCCAGTAGCTACAAACTTCACAATGATTACCTCTTCAAAAAATCTGTAAAAGAACTACTGTTGAGAAAATGTTATTACAGTATTCAGGAGTACTTCTCGGACAGAGAAATATAATGTTAGATTCAAATCCAGTATAGTGACTGATTTCATGTTCAAGTGTCTCATTCTTTCTGACTTATCCTATACATTGTAAAAATGTCCTACAGGATCAATAAATATTATTATTATTATTATTATTATTATTATGCCAAATAGCGTGTATTAATCATAAGCAAAATTAGCGTTGACGTCACTACCTTCATAGCAAGTTTAACGTGGATAAACTCATCATTCGATGATTTTTGTTCGAAAAATTTTTTGGTACGCATTTCTGCCTCAAAAACACGAATTTGATAATAAAGATGTGAAGAAATCCCTATTTATCCAGATATTTCACGAAAAAGTTCAAAATTTCACCTTCTTTTTCCGGTTGTCTTAGAACTATTTGCCCTTCTTTTTTCATCATTGGACTATTTATCATGATCTACTTCAATGACACATTTTCAATTTGAAAATCGACTAGAAATATGATTTTCCTGCGATTTTTCTATATTTTCTATTTGGTAAAAAATCATACCAGCTGACGGGAACGGCCATTCGGCATTCTGCATTCTGCCATCTGCCGTTAAATTAACAAGGACATGTCAAATATGCCAGAAATCACTTTCACCTTGGGCAGGCAAATAAGAACACTTCAATTTTTTTCTGAAAATCAATATCACACTAGTTCCAGCCTTTAAAGTGGAAAAAAAGATCGAAGAAGGAAGAATAACATTCAAAATAATTTGTATAACGTTATTCTAATGCAATTTATTCCAAAATTTGTGTCCTCTCAAAATCTGTTGGCATTTGAAATTCATAGGACATCTTGAATTGAATGGCTGTCAGCTGGTATGATTGTTCTATTGTTCAGTAAATATGAAAAACAGCAAAAAATCATATCCCTTGTCGATTTTCCTATATAAAATGTGTCATTGAAGTTCATCATGAGTATATGAAGTGTCCCCAATGACAAAATAGTAGCAAGTTGCTGTAAATCAGTAAATGTCAAGGTAAATGCCTATCCAAAGACAAGCAGAAAAACAAGGTGAAATTTAGAATTTTTTCGTGAAATATCTCGATAAATTGTGGTTTGTTCACATTTTCATTATCAAAATCGTGTTTTTGAGACAAAAATACGTAACTACCAAAAAAATGTTCGCCCTCATCAATACACAAGTTGGTTGAATATATATTTCCTTGTGATTTGAGGTTATGCAAGCGTTGGAGGAGCGGCCGCAAGACCCCCCACCCCACGACCAGCAGCAGCAGCAGCATCACCACCCTCAGGCGCCACCTCCCTCGGAGGTGGCGCAACAACACCACCCCGTCGTAGGACCCAATCACCTGGCGGAGCACGTGCAGCAACAGCCGCAGGTGTTTGTGCCGGCGGGGGTGACTTTAACGGCGCCGCCACCGCCCCATCACCAGCTGTCCAAGATGGAGCACGTGGTGCAGTCTAGCAAGTTGCAGGTATGTTGGTCGTCTTGTTCTCTCCTGTTTTTTCTTTCTTCACAGTGTTACATTTATTTTGAAGCATCCACTTCAACTGCACAAAAGGCAATAGGCAAGAACACTATTTTCTAGAGAATATACTGTTATGTTATTCGGGTGCAGAAGCGAACACGACACTATTTATTTTCAAACTGATTTATTTTTACTCAAGAAACACTAATTTATATCGAATTTATAACTACTATTTATGTAAACGATTTATATCACGCGGTATATGACTGCCTCTCTGACACTCGCCGCTTGACTGACTGACGGCAGTCGTCCGGCCGTTTATATATGCGATCCCTTGGTAGGCTTTGGTTCGAGAACGTTCTCGAATGATCTTCCGTCTCCTTCTTTTTGTTCTAGAAGCTTCTTAGAACGATACCTCTCTCTAATTGTTCCATCGATTGTTTCCAGAACATTCCAGAATCTTGTCACGTTATTTGTCACCGCGGCATATATTGAGTGTTCGGAAATATGCTGGTGCATGTAGGAATCATTGGGAGGTTGGAGAACAATCTGGGATGCGTGTTACAGGATGATCGTTGTACTCCTGCCTTCCTGCTGATGTTTCTAGAGCCCCCCTAAGGGGAATACTATGAAGTTCATCACGATGAGAATATGCTAAAAGGAGGGCATCGTAGATAGACACAATTTCAACACTCAAACACATTTTTCTTTACTAAGGACGGCTTGTACAAAAATTACCGTTTATAAAAATACAACATCGACAAGTGATTCGTTCTGATGCTAAGATGCTAATGACCAAACCTGCTTCAATCTTCGATCTCACGATGATTGTGAATACCCAAGAGTCGTCGAGACCGCTTGTGATGAGGCATTCCTTAGGCGTTCTTCTCAATTACGGGGTGATTTTAACATCGTCGCTAGCAATAGAGATTTTTTTTTAAATTATTTATTCCTTCTAGTTTTCTCAAAATACATTTCCAAAAACATGCTCCCGTTAGAACACGACGGAAAATCGTCAGCGGTACTGACGTCACAAGTTCTATAGTCTGGCAAAAATCGATAATTCACTATTCAGTGAGATGAACAGCGTTGCCGTTTCAACCGATTCTTTACTTCTTTGGATTTTTAACTGATTTCAAAAATATCATGGAGGAACTAAGCAAGACAGTTTGAAAGCTCTTTGGAACATTTTTCCCATGATGAAGACATATACAGGGTGTTAAAGACATGCTAATATTTGAGGGAGTGATTCTCTGACTTATCTTAAGAAGAAAACTTCATATGAATGTATGTCCTAAAAGTCTTAACTTTTGAGATACAGGGTGATGAAGTTTTAAAAAATATTCAGTATTTTGATGATAACTGAGACAATATTGTATACATCTTTTTGAAATTTGGTACACGTATTTTATGCATCAAGGTGCATTTTCTGATGTACAAAAATTTTCATTTTCTCTACCAGTGGCACCGTTACGGGAAAATTATTGTTTATATTTTACTCAAAAGTGAGCAACGACAAAACATTTTCAAATTTCATACCATGCTATGAAAGGCTATTCAATTATGTACAAAAAAGATCCTCTTGCTGATACTCGATAGAACGCTTTGTTTTCGAGAAAAAACGGAAAAACGAGACCAGACTTCAAATTTTGATGTTTGAGTACTCCATTCAGAACATCCATTACTGGATAACCACCGTATATAACATTTTGAAATTCGTATACCGATTCAGTCACATAGCAGACTGAATTTTGCCATCACGAAAAGCTATACAGGGTGGACAAAAAAAACCGGCATATTTTCAACATTGAACCCTGTATCTCAAAAGTTAGGACGGTTACGACATACGTTCATATGAAGTTTTATTCTTGAAATGGATCGAAGAATCGGCCCTTTGAATATTAGCATATCATTAAGGAACACCCTGTATAATTGGCTGTTCTATTTGAAGTTCATACATCTTTTGCTGCTCCAAGAAAGTAAAAACCCCTGTAAGGTTGTTTTTTATTTTTCTGTATTCTCAGATATAACAAGAGTCATAGGGGATGATACTTTATAATTACTTTATAACATATCAACTGGTTCTAGTCTTTTTGACAAGAATCTTTTTTTTCCAATTTCCTGAATCCGTACAAAAAATGCTGCCAAAGTCACATACTGTTCTTTTTCCTACAAAATGTGATCTATCGTTGCAGCCGTGCGCGAAAGAATTCGTCTTGCCCACCCCCTCGCTTCCCGCCCCCACCACCGCCGCCGTCATCGCTGCCGCCTCCGCCAAAGAGACGCCGATCGTGTCGGCGAACTGCGACGCCGTCGAAGTGACGCTGCCCAACAAGCTGCCCAAGGACAGGGAGAGTCCCGCTAAGGGCAGGGCGAAGCCGAGGGCGGACCAACCATTGCCGCCCTCGCAGGTCAGGGAGCGCGGGGATTCGTCGAAGGAGGCGCAGGCGCCCCAGGCGGCGGTCGAGAAAGAGGTTGTCGTGCCGCCGGTGGTCAAGGATGAGGTGAGAATTGGTTCAGTCGTGTTCAATGAAGAAGCGTAAAAGTATAGGTCTCGTGCATGGTCGAATGAAATGTCTTTGAATTATCTTAAACTTATCTATTATTCCTTAATATGTTCTCTGTTATAAACATATACGTCAATTGTTTCTTGGGAATAATAAAGATGATGATGATGATGACCTACCCTGAAGGTAAAATATTGAAACTCAACCTCACTTTTCTGTAAAACATGAAACACAACATCACTTTTTTTATTTGTTTACAGAGGAATCAAAGGATTGAAATAATTTTTGACAATATTTTGGCATATGTATCGTGGTTTTTGCGCTATCCATTAATTCAAGCATGCCTTCTCATTGTGCTGTTGTACAATACATAAAAAATGCAGCGAGAGAAGAAGGAATATGATTGTTCAGGTAAATAGTAATCTCTCACATAGTTTTCATTATGAAATTTTGTCATTTCTTATTAAAATTCCTCTTTCCACTTCTGCAATAGAAGCTAATACTGCTTATAGATTGGAAATGTCTACAACACACACGATCATATTTCGTCAGCATGTCACAGCAGCTCTCCCGTTTGATTGCATGAATCCAATCTTCTTTCATTCTATTAGAAATTTACGAGTATTTCTATTAGCTCCTGTTGCAGAAGAAATTCCGATGAGAAATCAGAGAAAATACCAAATTTCAAAATGAAACCTATATGTGAGTGACTATAGTAGGAACTTACTTTTAAATCATGATGTACCTACCGGATTCCTTCGTCTCCCGCTGCATTTTTTGTAAACAAATAAGGAAAGTGAGGTTGTGTTTCAATGTTTCACCTCCAGCGTCGGTCATCTGACAGTTCTTGCATACAACCCACCGAAAAGAGGTTAACGTCTTCCTAGTTCTAATTGTGTGAAATTGGCTCAGCCAAAGCTCTCTACTTTTGAGAACCTATGACAAGTGTCAACATTTGGTGAACAATAATTGCCGATAGCCCGTTTTACGCGAATACGTTGACGTTAATTTCTCTCTCCTATACTTGTACGCTTTTTTTAAATACATCTGTGGTTTTTATGTTTGATTCAATAGTTTTGTAATGAAAGTGAGTTTGATTTGCTTGACTTCAGAACCCACTTTACTCACAATGACCATCCAGTATGGTATGATCACTTCTCAAAATTATAAATACAAATTGATTTACAAATTGATTCAACTAACCCTCAACAGATAACAGTGTGTCTTGTACATGCCCATATTTCATCATTTTAACTCTGAAATCTCTCAGGAATTTTTATAATTCTTTTATTCATTTTACCAACTAATGGTGTGTCTTGTACCATCACATTTTTATAATTTTCTATTCTATCTAATCTTCACTTGTTACATATTTCAGACTAAATAATAATAGAAAGACACCATGATTTATTCATACGCTAACAATCCTAAACACCGAACACGGGTAAATGAATGAAATCACGAATGGTGGGGTTAACTGCAGAATCATTGCCTGAGAATTGATATTCTTCATAGGTATATTTTATATGTATATCTAATAAATCGGGGTTTCTGAAATTGTCCGTATGTGCACGGATAAACTAACCATCAGGTGTTGTAACATATTAATAATACATTTTGTAAGGTCTCAGTGAGGTTATTTTATATTTTCAGTATTTTAATTGAACAAACTTAGATGAAAACGTCGTATCCATCAAGGGATAATATTCTGATTTTCACAGTCCCAGCTCCTCTTAACTGTAATGTTGCCAAAGTTATGATGGCGTTTATGGCTGTGAGATTAATGTCTGCAAAACTTAGTTGGCCAGTTTCTTCTCAATGATTGGCCAATTATACATGTAGCGACATATTTATTAAACATTTTAGTTTTTACTGTTGAGTTACCCCATTTACTAGCTGCCACCCTGTAATTCCATGTCCTGTAATGTTCCACCATTGTTCTAAACGGAAACTATTGAAAACCTAGTATTCAGTAAAACAGATCCTCTGTCTCTGGCTAGGTACAGTTATGAAAGAAAAATGGCCCCAAAAGACCAGGAAAATAGGTTTTCAGCCAATATCTCCTAAAATATGGCAGTTAGAGATTTTCGGTTCAGATAAAAATTGAAGTTCAGTTAATTTTCTACAAAAATGGTCCTCATCATTTTTCTCGAAAATTTGCCCGGTTTCGAGAAAAACGGCACGAAGCGCACCTCGAATAATGAGCTTCTGTGTTGTATGCCGGAGAGCACAGTCCGTGTATTCACACATCGGCGGGGGGACAAATTATTCAATAACTTTGTTGAAAATGCATATTTTCTCATGATTCAAAGTTCATGTGAAAGAGGAATTCTGCTGCTATCATACCCTGTGAATTGAGTCACGCTTGACTCTTTTGGCCATATCGGAACATGGGTCAAACTTTCTGCTCCCGGTCAATTTTGACCTCGCCAGGAATTTGTTCCTATTTTTTTTGTATTGCACTAATTTACTCGAAATTCTCTTGATTATGGGTAATCATAAGGTCCTTTGTCATCCCTAAAATTTGAATACCCTAATTTTTTTTTAATTTTCATTCAATCTTTGTTTATTGAATCTCAATTTTTTGCTGTTTTTGGAGCGCCGGGAAATTTTGTGAACAACCATCAATTAAAAATTTATACATGATCCGATTGGTTTCTATGATACATCATTTGAAAGCTAAGAAGGTCTACTTTTCGATTGTGCAATTACTTTGTTAGACGAAGTCGTCCATTTTTCAATAAAATTAGAAAAAGCGGGGTCAAGGAAAAAACGCACTTTTTTTTTTTCGGTGGTTTTTTTCTCCAACAACAACAAGCTGTCGTAACAATCACCGAATATTTCCGGCAAAATATTATCACGTGTGGTATTATACAATATGACAAAACTTTTTTATTGTGTGTGCCTATTTATAAGCACTTGTGTTCATTACCCACATAACCCACTAGATGTAATGTTTATGACCTGCAACAAATGCATTTTTTTTGTACATAACGTTGTTGAATAATTTAAACTATACGCCGATATTGTGGTCCACTTATCGACCAGTGCCGATATCGGCCAATACCGATATCGGCCAAGGAGGCCAATATGGCCGATAAACCGATACCGATATCGGTATCGGTCGATCCTAGTGATAATGATTTCTAAAATTCACGAGTTCCTAATAAAGTCAATCAAATTTCGAAGGTGAAACCCGTACTGGAGCAACAACCACCTGCCGTCGAACAGGCGGAACCTCCGGCGGCGGTCCCACCCCCGCCGGCGGTCCAGCCGCCTCCCAAAGAAGTGCCGAAGGAGCCCCAGCAGCCCGACAAGAAGAAGAAGGACTCCTCCAAGGCGGAGGTGTCGGTCGCGGCGCCGCCTCAGCAGCCGGCTCAGACACAAGATGGCGGAAGTAACGGTGAGTGTTTGGATTTTGTGTACAGTTGTCTTGTTTTAAGTATTCTCCACCACTTTGTTTTTCCAAAAAAATCATAGTGTTTCAGAATTCTGTATCAATATTTCAGGGATTTATTGTTATGGCGTGTTTAATACCGACAGAACTAGTTATAGTATTTGGATGTATGATAAATTGACATTCATAACACAGGACGTGTCTATTTTGCCATTAGAAAGTTGTTACATGTATTCATTTCATTTTTATAACTGCTGTTCTGCGAAAAGTGCCCTATATTAATTGAAGTGGATGTCTTTAACCTATTTCCATTTTTCATCTACGACAATGATTGATTTGACAGGTAATCTAACCTCTAAAATCGTATCTGACAATCAGGTGCCACTAGGGAAATTGAAAATACAAAGAGTAGAATATACAGGGTGATCCACGGTGGATGGCCTATTAGAAGTATCTGGAGAACGAAAAGACAGAGCATTCCGAAAATTGGGATGCTTTGATAATTGAACATTCTCTATCAGTCTAAAATATTTTCATCGATACACTGTTGCCACTTTTATCAAAAACAACTAGCAACTTTGTTTTTTCAAATGGAACACCCTGTATCTTATTGCATTTTTAGATTCTTTCTGAAGAGCTGATTGCATCAATGTATCACACTTGGGGTCTAGCAGGAATGATTACAGAGATATAGGGTGTTCAAAATCAAGATTTTTCAATTTTAGGATTTTTTTGTGTCGAAACTTTTCATTATCGATCAAAACGGTTTACATGTCCCTATCTTTACTTTTGATTCACTATCTACTGGAATTCAATTGGGAAAAATACATGGTGCTTCAAGATTCTGAATTCTGATCACCCTGTATCTGTTCCAAATAAATGTCAGTAGATAGTAGATCGAAAGTTGAGATAGGCACATGTAAGCCGTTTTGATCGATAATGAATAGTTTCTCACAAAAAAAATCCCAAAATTGAAAAAATCTCGATTTTGAACACCTAATATCTCTGTAAACATTCCTTCTAGACCCCAAGTGTGATGCATCAATGAAATTAGCTCTTCAGGAAGAATCTTAAAATGCAATAAAATACAGGGTGCTCCATTTAAAATAACGAAGTTGCTAGTTGTATCTGATAGAAGTGGCAACACTGTATCGATGAAAATATTTTAGATGGATAGAGAATGTTCAATTATCGAAGCATTCCAATTTTCACAATGTTCTGTCTTTTCGTTCTCCAGATACTTCTAATAGGCCATCCACCGTGGGCCACCCTGTTTGTCTTATTCTTTCATTCACTGAAATCATTGTAACATAAAAAATAAAAAAGGATAGAATTTCAGCTGTGTCCGAACTCTAATCTACTAATATCTTCCAGTGACTAATATCTTCCAGTGACGAATATCTACAACTTTTTTCCTTTGTATAACAAATGACTATTTTTCTCGATAATGCCTTGAAATTACGAATCTACCAGTGGCGCAACACAAAGAAGTTTATAGGGCGAAAAAGGGCTCTCTCGCTCAAAACATATCTACCTGTAGATTCTTACAAACACTCGGCATACTGTATGATGTGAACCCTAAAACATAACCTATGTTAAATTTTATGTGAATATCTGGAAAAGTAAAAGAACTTTAAAGAAAAAACAAAACAATCTTGAAATCTGAACACTTTGTAGATCAGTAACGAGGCGTTTACGGACACATATTTATAAAAAAAACATCTAATTTTGATCTGAAAAATGAGCCCCTGAAATCTTGTTACTGAAATTTGAAACACCCTGTATATATGGTCCTAGAATGACAAAAGATGGCGGACATAATAATAATAACATTTTTCTCCAAAATGACATTAAAAGTGGATTTTTAATGACACTTAACTGTCAGAAAAGGTGTACTTTTACTGCCTAGACAGAAAAAGTTTGTTGCTATGCAATGTTCCAAATAATTTGAATATCAAATTGGTAATCAATATTGACAATGGCTTTGGGTGAAAAAAATCAAATATGCAATGAGTTTAAGTGCGATTCATGAAGACATGTGAGGTACAAAAAATCCATTTTTGCCTACATCTATCCTTGTCGAAGTGATTGAAATGATGTAGTTCGCAGTTTTTCAGGTCAAAAACCATGACTGACTGAATCATATTCCTCAAATTCTATTAATTTATCGGATTTATTGTTAATTTGAAATAGCAGTGTGTTTGGTTTCTGTATCTAATTTTGAAAGCTCCACCCCTTAATTTTTCCAGAGAAATCATATATACGGTCCTAGAATATAAAAAGTGGAACAGTTCAAATGAGGGAAATGGGATGTTTGCTATAATGGAGTGGTTTGTTCGATCGTTCGTGTGCAGCTGGCCTTCCGTTTGAGGTTCAATGTCGCTTCTTGCGGCGAAATTCCCGATTGGAATTGAATTCTTGCGTGGGTGGATCACAGGGGTAGGTGCATTTTGTGATACCAGAAATGTGTCCATGCTAAGAAAGTACAGTCATTAGCACAGAAAACATCAACAGGGGTTTGAGATGCAATTTCTTGGCATTTTGAGGCGTTCAACTTATCATTGATGATTGTCTTCATTTGTACCACTTTAAGATGGTTGTCGTCCAAGATTTGAAGCCACGTGATGTAAGTGAAATAATTTGTGGAGAGGGTTTTCCTATATAAGATCTTTTTTGATTTTACATAAAAACTAGAATTTTTTCAATTCATTAAAAGCACGGCACTGTACAAATCAATTTCGTCTATCAAAAAATTAATGAAGAGGAGTGGAAGTTGCTTTTGTATTGAGAAGTTATATAAGATACATTTTACGTGGGATTCATGAAGACATGCCAGGTACAAAAAATCCATTTTTGCCTACATCTATCCTTGCCAATGTGATAGAAGTGATGTAATCGTCAGTTTTTTCAAATCAAAAACCATTTCTGACTGAATCCTATTCCTCAAATTCTATTAATTTATCGGATTTATTTTTAATTTGAAATCTGGCAACAGTGGCAACGCCGATTTCGATTCGCCGTGACGTTGCCAAATGTTAGAGACATTATCAAGGTTCTGTTTTCTCAGTTCAGTCTTAGTCATTATCAATATTAAATTTGAACAAATTGACATAGTGACTAGAACTTTTTGATCAGCAAATGAAGATTTGAATATCTGATAAAACTAAAGATTACACTCCAAGGTTTCACCAAATTTTACCGAGAACTGTTCATTTGATAAACAATGAAATACATATACATATTATAATCTTTAAGAGCAAACACAGAAAACAAGATGGAAAATAGGGGTGACAAGAACCACTTTAGATACATTTTTCGTTCGTTTCATCTCAATTTTCGTTTGCAAATTTCATATTTTTCAGTTTGGAAAAAAAATGACGCTGATCCATGTGACAGAATAATCATTCCTAAGGATTAAGAGGAACATAACTTTGAATTTTCCTGTTGTATCGAACGACTGTTGTATAAAATATTCATAATACAATAGAGATGTGTCCCGGCGTGTTCGCCAAAACCTTGAATCTAACGATTTTTAATCAATAATAATGAAATTCACAATCTAATCATATTCTCTGCTTTTTGAAAGAATCTATTGTGGGTCGTGAAGAGCTGATCAAGGAAAAATTTCAGTAATCCTCTTCTTAAGATGCGTATTTGGCAACGTGTAGTCGTTGTCGAGAAAGAAACAAAAAGTACGGTTTCGTGAAATGACACAAAAAAACAAAGTGGCCGTGGAGAGCACGTGGTCTTCTCTTCAATAGTTGTGTATTTTTAACCCCGGATAGCGTCAGTTTTCGCCAAAAAATGTACGTTTGAAGTGATCGGGAAAATCGAATTACACAGTGTTATAGTTTCCCTGATGTGGTGAAAAAGATGGGCAGAAGAAAAAGTGAGTGTTCGCAAATTTGTTAGTTGTTCACACAAGTTTTTCGTTTCAACCGGTCGGTCTTTGTTTTATAAATAGACATGCACATAAATATATCTTACATTTTCGCGAATCTTTGGAATTGTTATGCACCATATCAAATTATTTGCGCCGGTATTAGTAGAAATCTCATCTACTTATCTAATTATTAGTACAATCGTTTTTTTTTTTCAAGGCAGCAATGAACTGAAGTATGATGATTAACTAAATCTCAAAATTTTGATAATTCAAACGTGCTGAAGTTGAATTTTCCTGATTTTCTTGAAAAATAGTTAGGGACATCTATTTTTTAAAGTATTCATACCAAGAAACTTGGAGAGCAATTCTGAATTTCCCTATTTTGGGTGAATTCTCAAGAAATACAAACTGATACTCTTTCACACCATGAAATAGGTAGTGCACTGAATATAGAATCTAAGTTTGAGGCAATGGAATGTTTGATGAATCATGTTACCTATAGTACGTTTCACAGTTTTTTCAAAATGAAATAAGTATTCGATGATTTGCAAGTTACAATTCTTCTAATATATCTGGAACTTTAGTGGAAATTAATTGAAGGCCAATCGAAAGAAGAAGACGACGTTATCGATTTTTTCAGAACAGTTGACTGTGACGATAAGAAGATAACAAAAGCTAACACAAATTCTTGCTGTAGTCGCCATGTTGTGTGCGTCTGTCTGTATGATAAATCCTAATTTGTACATGAATCAGTATGGTGTAAGTTGTTATTGTTATTTGTGTTAAATTTATGAACACATTTATTCAGGATTAGCTTTATTTGGCTGTACAGCATGTGAGTACATACTTTTAAATTTTTTATAAAAAAACAAGATGAATGAAACAGTTGAATGTTGAAAAATAGACATAATAATTTTACGTACAATGCGATAGTTGAATCATAGGAAAACTGAGTAACAATGGACAATATTCGGCTTTTATTAGCTCATTTGTTGTTCAAAAAATGAAAGAAAATGTTCAAACATTGCATTCTACTTCATTATCAGATGATGTAACTTATATCAGTTATGAAACAATTGTGATCAGGGTAAGATTATTATTATTCTCCTATATGTATAAAATG